AGATTCAGCTTGAACCGTGAACTGAATCAGATCTCTTTTACACCCCCAGTTATGACTTTCTGGAAGCACTGAGTTTGGGGAAACAAGAATGTTGAAGTCCATCGGCTTTTGATGTGATCCAGCAGGGTTTCTCTTATGCTCTTGGTGTTTGTTGCTGTGTAAAGTAAATACCGGGATGCGGGTGGCGCCGTGGGTTAAACCACAGAGCCTAGGGCTTGCCGATCAGAAGGTTGGTGGTTTGAATCCCCGCGATGGGGTGATCTCCCGTTTCTCGGTCCCTGCTCCTGCCAACCTAGCAGTTTGAAAGCACATCAAAGTGCAAGTAGATAAATAGGTACCACTCTGGCGGGAAGGTAAATGGTGTCTCCGTGCCCTGCTCTGGTTCGCCAGAAGTGGCTTAGTCATGCTGGCCACATGACCCAGAAGCTGTCTGTGGACAAACGCTGGCTCCCTCTGCCAATAAAGCGAGATGAGCACCGCAACCCCAGAGTCGGTCACGACTGGATCTAATGGTCAGGGGTCCCTAAAGTAATACCAGGCACGCCAACTCTCCAGCCCCCTCAATATTTGTTGGAAGGGTGTGTGACATCACACATGTCGCAGCTTCAGCGACTGGCTCCTCCAGAGCACTTGGACTCCCCTGGTTGTTGGGACATTGCACATGTGATATCACATGCACACAATGCACGCTGGGCCCTCTCAATCTTGGGGGCAACCTGGCACCTCTTGACTCTTCTATGCACTGCTGTGTGTGTGCGCACATTGTTTTGTATAAGAGTACAATGCATTTGGCCTGTTTCTGTTCTGGAATAAAACCTGAGGAAGCAAATTGAAAAAAAAAATGTTTGGAGCCAGCTAGAGCTCTCTAAAGTTTTCCACCGGACTTTATTCTGTTTACACTAGAAGCTTATTAAATGTTTCACCCCTGAGTCGGCTGGAATCAGGATTAGTCCCACCCTCATAAAACCCCTCTAATTGTCCTCTGTGTAATGGGCATGCATAATATGTAATTAATTGTCATGCATTATTAACCAGCGAACAAAATGCAAATTGGGATAGCTTTGGGGGCAAATAAAGTGCTTACCCATTAAGAAATTTCTGTTTTTCACTGCAATATTTAAAGAAGACAGAACACAGCGTTCGGCAGTCAGCTCCTTTTACATTGTAGGGGTAAAACGTTCTGTTACTTGGAATGGAAAAGTAACCATCTTAATGTATTGATGGTAATAGCTGGCATGAACTGTTTAGTACTGCACAGTTTAAATACACCTCACCCGTTCTAAGATGTCAAAGCAAGGCCTCCTGTTTTTCTTAGGAACTCCAGCCCTTGGCCAGGACTGAGCCACTGATCTTAACCTCTACCCCTTGTTCCTTATCAGGTTTGTAGCATAGTTGGCTGCTGGAAATATGAATAACTGCAGCTGGATTTCCTAGGCAGACTTCATGATGCAGCTGCTACTTGGGCCACTAGGCTGTGTTTGTTTCTCTAGGGCCTTCTTCAGGCATTACTAGGGCCCATGAGGTGGACTGAGGCAACTGCCTTAAGCAGTGGAATCCCATGTGTCAGTGCCCCCACAACTGCCCCACCTGCCCCTGCTGCTGCCACTGAATAAGCAAAGCAAAGTTCTGGCTTCTGGTGAAATATTGCTGGAAACTCCTTCATGCCCCTGGTAAATGAGGCTTTGACAGCTAAAGCCCCTGTCATGTGAAGTGGAACAGTGTGGATGAGTGTGCTAGCTCTGCCCCCTTCAGTGCCATTTTCACTGCCCTCCAGAATAGAGAGCAGAGATACCAGAGTGGTGCTCTCCAGATGTTGTAGACTGTAGCTCCCATTGTGCTTGGCCATTGACCATGCTGGCAGCGGCGGAGGAAGCCTCTCGGGCACCTGGGGTGGTGTGCCCAGGGACGGGGCAAACCGCTCATAGGGGCAGGGTGTGCAGCGCCCATAGGGAGGGGTGAGACGAGGTGCGCATTGCCCATAGGGATGGGGAGGGACAGGGTGGGGTCTTAGCTGCCCTACAGCTACGGGTGTGGCTCAGTCATGCTGCAGCAGGCCCTGTGGTGAGTGCCGCCTGGCATTTTGTCACCCCCATCTGGGGGAGACCTGGGATGGACCGCCTCCCTGCCTCCCCCTTCCTACGCCCCTGCATGCTGGCTGAAGCTGATGGGAGGTGTAGTTAAAAATATCTGCAGGGCACCATGTTGGCTACCCCTGAGGAAATGGGTGACTTTGTAGAATGGGGACTTTCTGTACCTCATGGAGGTTGTTGGTGTATTTGTAAACAATGGACCATCAGGGGTCTAAAACACGTAGGAAGCCTTCATGACAAGATGAGTCATTACATCAGGGATAGATGTTTTGAACTGCAACTATCATCAGCTCCTCACTTCACAAGGTCGCCTAGAGGGTGATGAGAATGGGAAGAGAGGGGAGCCGAGTGATCACTGCTAACCCATGTGAAAATTTAACCCATTCACTTGTGCCTGAAGAGAACTTGATTCTAGATCCAAACGGGGTTCCACATTCCTATCTGATGGTTGCCTTCGTGCCCCATCTTCCTACTTGCCCAACCCACTGATTATGGCCTGCTGTCCTGGTCTTAACATGGTTTGGGCTGCCCCCCCCCCCACAATTAGGATTTGCCTTTGGCCTGTAGCTCAATGGCTGACCCACTAACATTCTTTTAACAATCCCAAGATCCCAAGTTAATTTTGTGCAGATGCCTAATTTGAATATTTCTTAGAAAACCTTGGTATGAGAAGCAAATCATTCTTTATTTATACTAGAGTGAGTCATATGAAGAAGAGTTTACATGAAAAGAAATAATACAACAGTTCTTTATGGGTGGGTGGCATTGCAGTCTGTTTTCTTGTTTTTATCAGGCCATAGCAAAATGCAATGAGAGGGGTGAGTGTTGTGGCATGAATGATAAAAGGTGAGAAGCATTGCTAAGTATCACATCTTAGGATTTGTGTTTTGCATATTTATGCAATGTGGGGTTCAGTTTTGTTGGGTTGGAGTAACGACAGACGAGTAGCAAGTGTCATATGGGAGGCATCTCTGGAGCAAACCCCGAGAAGACTCTTTTATTGAATATTACAACTTTGCCACAGGTGCGCGCATTGCTGATTGGTTGATACAAACACAAAGCAACTTGTTGCTGATTGGTTAACACAAGTACAGAGCAAGGGTTACATATAGGCATTAATCACCAATAGATTAAAGGCTGGGAAAGGGAGCACAGAACTAGACAGGCATGAAACCTCCTAATTAAATTATAACTAATGATTGATATAGCAAGACCAAAACAATTACTAATGATTGATCATAACATGAAAGAATACAATAATCGTGTTCCGTAGATGTGGTCAACTGTGCATTAAGAACAGGTCAGTCAGAGTATAATGTTTTCATGAACTTAAGATGAACTGAACATCCTAAGGAAATGAGGGAATGTCTTGGTATTTAGAACTGGTTGTACAGTATGTTCAGAAGCAGAGAAAAGCTTAGAAGCAAGACTTTCCAGAATGCCAGAGAAAAGCTTAGAAGCAAGACTTCCCATAATGCCACAGTCATGTGCAGAGACAGAACTTCCCTTCACAGTTTGCTTGATGGGGACAAGGGGTGGTATATCGAACAAAATATTAGAGACTGTCTTGGAAGATACTCAGTGGGGACAAAGCAGAAATATATCTAACATCTAAATATATGTAACAATCATAGCCATGTCTGCTCAGTAAGTCATACTGAATTAAGTGGGACTCACTCGCAGGTAAATCGGGTTAGGATTGCAGCCTAAATCTGTCACCTCTACTGCAACATCATGTGATGACTGGCATGTGTGAATTGCCATCACTGATCAAGCACCGCAGACAGAACTTGCACCTTACCTCACACGCAATATCAGAATCAGCTCACATATTTGGCTGAGAGTAATCAAGTGCTCAGAAATCAAATACATGCACATATCAAGCAGGACTCTTGATATCCCTTGGCCTGATTTCAATTGCAACCTTTGTTTCTGTGAGCATCTTCTTACTGGCTTTATCTTCAAGTTGAGCTCCACATACCTGACTAGTCTCATCCTGAATATCCCACCACTATTTCCAGAGCCAGTCCAATGCAAATTGTTGACCGCACTATCTGTGCAACTAGTTCGGGCTCTTTGAGGGTTTAGAGAGGTATACTTTGCTTCTCACCCACCCCTTTCCTCTTGGTGATTATAATGGAAAGGCTACTCTCGAGTTTTGTCAAATAGCACTGGTGTCCTCTGCCCTGCTATACTGAAATAAAGCAAAATATATGGGCCATCCTGTTATTAACTTTATATTTCTAACTCAAGTGTGATCATATCAGTAATGGAAGCATTTTGGCTTGCTTCCCAGAAACCATTTTCCTTTCCATTTGCAAGCCACCAAAGCATAGCATTAACTTTATAAACTGTTGCACTCCTTGAAAACAACTCAGATGCAGGGGATATGAAAGTTGAAGCAAATATGCAGAGTTTTAGAAGCTGTCTGCAGCAGAGTGGAAAACGTGGCTCGATGGCTGATCTGGAAGATAATGTGCAGTCTCTCTCCTCCCCTGACTTCTGTCTTTGGAAAGAAATGGAAATGCAGTCTTTTGAATCTTTGCAGAGAAATGAAAAACCTGTCTGAGAAATCCCAGAGGGAAAAGAAAGGGAATTGTATTATATGCAAAAGCATATGGCGGTAGAGATAGAATCCACAAAGCTGCTTGGCAAAGCAGCATGTATGCGCTTCACATGGTGAGGCTGGACTGCAGTACCTTGCAACATTATTGCTGCATTCAGAAGGCTTGAGACTCTTCAGAACAAGAATACAGACTAGTTTCAATGTTGACTTTAATAGCTCAGTTCCTCCCTGCATATAGCCACAAACAGACTTTTCTACCCACTTCCTCTTCCAGTCTAGCACAACTCCAGGGATGGATCAGCCATTGGTTAATCCAGGGCAGGAATCCCCAAACTCGACCCTCCAACTGTTTTGGGACTACAACTCCCATCATCCCTAGCTAACAGGACCAGTGGTCAGGGATGATGGGAATTGTAGTCCCAAAACAGCTGGAGGGCTGAGTTTGGGGATGCCAGATCCAGGGCATACTAAAATACAGGCTTGGATCATGGAATGGATCTATCACAAACATCACATCCTACTTTCGCCCTCAGATATAAACCATAAATTGAAGTATGGTTTATAAATCCACTCGGACACCTTTTAAAAGTGGATTTGATAATTTCAGGAAGGATAAGGCTACCAATGACTGTGAGCCACAATGCCTATTTTTCTACTTTCACTGTTGGCGACAGAATGTGTCTGTATACCAGTTGCTTGGAATCACAAGCAGGAAGAGTGTTGCTGCAATCTAGAATGCTAGATTATATTTTGGATTAAATGGATTGCATATAAATCCAGTTAGCCCCCTTGTTGCTGATGTTGGATTTGGTCTGATCCAGTGGGCGGGCTCACCCGTGAGGCAAGGTGAGGCAACCACCTCAAGCAACAGAATCCACAGGGGCAGCAGATACCAGATATTTATTGCCCCTTGTTCTGGATGTAGGGGAGGTGCTATTTTGTGGTTTGCCTCAGGTGCCAAAATGTCTTGGGCCGGCCCTGTGATCCAGCAGGGCTTTTCTTATGTTAAACATGAACTTGAGCAGTAGGAAGACTTCTGCAACTATATTAAAACAGCTTCTGCTGATATGATTAGAGCAAAACTGCACAACTGAAGTATCAGAGAGAACTGGCCAATGCACCCACAGTTCACGACAGCAGCTTTGTTGAGTCCTACAACTAGGAATAGGCAAATCTGTCAGTTTGTCTCCCTTTCTCATTTTTGCTATCTTAAATTCAGATCCCTGCATTTCCATATCAGTGTGTGTGTGACGAAAATTCATCAGCATTTTATTGTGACCTTATCCTAATGTGCTTACAAACATTTTCTCAATATACACATTTATTTTAATCCCCCCAAGCACCTCCCACTAAAAGCATGCGTTTTTGTATGCCATTTTCACTAATGCATTCATTCTTATGGACATTTTATCCAAGTATGTATATGATTCTGTAAGTTGCATAGCTGGAGAAAGGCACTGCAAAATCCAGACAAATGCAGATTTTGAAGGATAGCTGAATTTCAGTGCTTGTTTTCTTTTAGAAAGTGTGACTTGGGTAGATTTGCCTTTAAATGTGTTTGGTGCTGCAGGAGTCGTAGGTGGGACAACATTGTTACTCTGCACATAGTAATCAGCATTGTCCTGGAATTTGAGGTGTGCCGTGAATTGGTTTGATATGAGATACATTTCTATGCAGTGACCATTGTGCTATTATCCCTAGATATGATGCAGGATAGAATGGCATACTGAGCTGTTTCCAGGCTGCAGAATTTTATTAAGAATCACAGCCTCCCATTTTGCATCGCATCACCGTGGCTCACTTGCACTGGTCAGCTTTCTGTTCCCAGAGCAGAGCACAAAACTTAAGGTGAAACACTACAATACAACACAGCTTATAGTACGTATCAACCCATTTAAAACCACCAGGAGAACCTACATAGTAGCAAAACAATTGTATTGTTGCAAGCTTTACCCTGTCATCACATCATTACCCTTTAGTGGGGTGCCAATTTGAGGTAATTTTGCCTGCACCTTCCTGCCAAACATGATAGCTGGTGCTGTGCCTGTAGAACAGTGAGGAATGGTTAGATAACTCCAGAGAAATAATAATAATCCCTTCATATCTGCTCCCTCCATTGTAGCAATCCATAGGACTTTCTTGATGCCCTCATAAATCTTTCAATGGTGCCATCTGCCTGTGGCCAACAGGTCTGATTTTTCAATGTTTGAGCACAAGGCAGTCTGAAAAGGAAGAAAATTGCTAGGGTTTAACAGGTGGCCCATTGACACTTTTCATAGTAAGTGGGTGTGTGCACAAAATGAAGAAAAAACATTCTCTAAATTGGGGATTACAGCATTTGCTGTTGTAGTGGAAGTGACCATTTCAACCTCTGGATAATGGCCACAACAATCAATATCAACCAAATAACAATCCTAAAAGGGACGCGGGTGGCGCTGTGGGTGAAACCTCAACGCCTAGGACTTGCCGATCGCATGGTCGGCGGTTTGAATCCCCGCGGCGGGGTGCACTCCCGTCTTTCAGTCCCAGTGCCTGCCAACCTAGCAGTTCGAAAGCACCCCCGGGTGCAAGTAGATAAATAGGGACCGCTTACCAGCGGGAAGGTAAACGGCGTTCCGTGTGCTGCGCTGGCTCGCCAGATGCAGCTTGTCACGCTGGCCACGTGACCTGGAAGTGTCTGCGGACAGCGCTGGCTCTATAGGCTGGCTGCCTATAGAGTGAGATGAGCGCACAACCCTAGAGTCTGGCAAGACTGGCCCGTACGGGCAGGGGTACCTTTACCTTTACCTTTAACAATCCTAAAATGCCCTCACTATCTGCAAGATCACAAAAATAGGCAGCAACCTCTACCCACGATGATGGCGGAAGGGGAGAAAGTGGTGAAAAGTGGTTCTGTTTGGAGAAGCTGGAAAGAGGCGTACAAGACACCATCCAACTGTCTTAGGGACTCCTAAGGGTAGGGTAGGGTAGGGTATATGCTGTATATGCTATATAACTGTTTAACTAGTTATTCTGAAAGGAAGCAGAAATTAATTAAGAGACTCTCAAGCTTACTTTCCTCACTTTTAGCTAAACCCAGTCTTGGATTAGTAATTGAAAATGCAAACTGTGAAGAAAGTTAAGAGATAAGTGTATCAAGTCCTCCATCAATGTATTTTATGACCCCAATGATGAGTTGAGTTGTTGGCACTATGCATTCATTGAAGCTATGTCCTAAAAACATTTGTAATATTTCACTAATAAAACAAGAACACTCGTCTGAATGTCACTGTTCTCAAAATATCTGTTTTGGTATACTGTAATGTGTAATTTTAACCAGCTAATTAACAAATTAATGAATGATGGATTCTTAATGCTTTTTTGCTTGACAGTCTTAGAATATTCTGGGTATGCAGAGTAAATTTGGCTTGAGAGCCCTGGTCTCAAAGGTTAGAAGGTTAACAGCTTTCCTCTAACAAAATTGTAATGGATGGGAGATAATTATGGAAGAGAGGAGCAAGGGATATAGTCCAATTAGTCAATTTCTGTTCCCTATCTGCATAGCTTGGACTATGACAAGGCCAAAAGTGATTATTGCAATTTTTGAAAGATGTTCCATTTCCAAATAATTGTGCCAATATTTCTTTCTGCAAATCACATCCTCAGTATCAGAAAAATTCCTGTTCAGGTTACTAAGTGGCCTGCTTTACACATCACATTGTCAAAATATGTCTTAGTATGAACGAGCAAATATGCTGGGTACACAGTTAAATAATCATGGTATTTTAATCTTCCCCAGCTCAAGATTGGGAGCTAAGACAAAGTTTGGCTTACTATCGTACCTGAACCAGGGCTTAAAGGGAAGTTTTCTTTCTGCAGTTCTCTTACTGCACATAACTGTGAAGTCTTACTATGAGAACTATTGCTTCTTTTCTCTTGCACGCTGGGAAGTTTTTGCCTCTGCACATGAGTCTGAGAATGTTCTGAACAGTTCCCATTGAGTTCATGAAACAGTGTATCCTGACCTGTTCTTAATGCATTGCTGACCACATCTACGGAACGTGATTGTTGTATTCTTTCATGTTATGTTCTCTCAATATTAATCTTTAGTTATAATTTAATTAGGAGGTTTCATGCCTGTCTAGTTCCAGCTCCGTTTCTCAGCCTTTGATCTATCAGTGATAAATGGATATATGTAATTCCCGCCTTGTACCTATGTTAACCAATCAGCAACAAGTTGCTTTGTGTTTGTATCAACCAATCAGCCACAAGCACACCTGTGGCAATGTTTGTAATATTCAATAAAAGAGAGTTCCCCGGGCTTGCCCCGGCAGAGACGCCTCTCATATGGCACCTGCCACTCGTCTGTCGTGATTTCAACCCAACAAGGGCTCATAGTTTGTCTTATTCCAAGCAGATCATAAGCTGGAACCAAGGTTTGTTCTTCACTTATCACTCATGGTTTGCTCAGGGGAGAAAAAACACAAGCCTGGATTTGTTGCAATACCAAAACAAACCATAGATTATTTCTTGGTGGTGTGAAGGCAACAATGATGAAAAAGTGGCCCCAATTTTCTAACTGTGGACCTGCAGGCTTGCTCTTTCCCACTTAGCCATGGTTTGATTTAGTGCTCAGTGCAAATAAGACCAGCATGTTGAGTACCAGAGGGAGTGAAAGCTAAGGGTCGCTTGGATAAATGTGCTAGACCTATCTGGAACATTCCTAGAATAGCTAGGATATATCTCCAACTTGCAGTGGAGCATCTTAACACTTTTTTTTTTTTACTGGAGTGTGAAAGGTTTATGCAACTGAGCTAAATATATTCTGATTGCCCAGCTGCACCCCTATCTGGACAGGGATAGTGTAATTTCTGTCTTCTATGCTCTGCTAATCTCTAGGTGTGATTACTACAACACGTTACACGTAGGGCTGCTTCTGAAGATGGTTTGGAAACTTCACCTGGTGCAGAATTCAGCAGTCAAGTTGCTCACTGGGACAAGGTGGTTTGAGCATACCACACCGATCCTGGCCTGACAGCACTGGCTGCCAATTGCATGTTCAGACCCATAAACCTCCCCCCTAAATAAATTCACACTTGACTCAAATTTTGGTTTTGGTTTTTGGCAGAATTTAGGCCACAGTTTTATTGATTACAGAGAGTGATTGGTTGCATAGGCTCTGGTTCGACTAGCTCCCTGCACCGTTGCAGGTAGCACTGACCCAGAGCTCCAGCATAGGTCAGCCAAGGGTGAACACCTGGATAAGCAGAAAGCTGGGAACCTGCTATCTCCGCCACCCAAATGTCCCCCTGGACTCAGGCATGGGCACAACCCCCTCTCAGGGGTTGACCAAACCATCGAGTCCCTGGATTCCTTTAACGGAATACCCTTCACATAAAAATGGTGAGAGCGTTCTCCCATCCCTATCACCTGAACCAGAACCTATCCGCAACCTTACTAGTTGTGACGATTTGCTACATGGCAGGTGAAACCCAAATGGCAACAGCCAATCAGCCAAGTGGGGAAAATTCCTGCCATGCCCTGTCCCAACTACAGACGACACACGACGGCATAGCAAGGTCAAGCGCAAAGCCCTAAAAGTAGGGAGAGGTGGGTGGGTGTTCCGAATGCACGTGCTGAAAGAGGAAGCTCTGGGTCACGTGCATGGGCATAAATAGGTCCCTCGAACCATTTAGACTGCGTCCCATTGGCCAGATTGCACCCAGCTACGAGGGACCAATCAATCAGGTGTTGTGGATGACCAATCATACCCACCCACAACACAAGTGTCGGTTATCCAGGTCTCACCGCAATATGTGCCCTCTTTAAGGGAGGACCCGATTTAGCTTCTGTACCCAATTCAAAGTGCTGGTTTTGACCTATAAAGCCTTAAACAGCTCAGGACCACAATACCTCAAAGACTACCTCTCCCAATGTGAGCCGACCCAGACCCTGTGATCACCATCTGAGGCCCTTCTTTGTGTATTTCCTCCATGTGAGGTCCATTACATATCTTAGGGACCAGTCAAAAACATTCCTTTTCTCCCAGGCCTTGGCTAATTAAACAATCTATGGTCTTCTCAGCTGTGTGTGGGGTAGGAGATTATAGTTGTTATTAGAGCATGTATTTTTTGTGTTTCTATATTGTAAACCATGCTGTGATTTTTGGATGAAGGGTGGTATAGAAAGTTAATTAATAAACAACTACAAACCGTTATTGTAAAAATGCAAAAAGAAACCCAAGCATGAGAAATTAGTGTATTTATTGTCTAATCAAAGCAGCTGTGTCATGTTCAGAACAGCAAAATTCCATTATAGTAACTTGTTTTAAAAGAGTCTCAAAATTAAATGAATGCAGTCAATGATGTACTTGTGAAATTTCTAGCTAAGACTTCTGCACTGTATGTATGTAACGGTAGCCAGTAAACCAAATGGGTCTATTACGTTAATTTGTATTTTACTTCTCTCCATAACTCTGAATCTTTTAATGTGTACAATCTTATTTTCTAGATTAATGCTCAATATGAAACTAAATGGTTAGAGGACTTTTTCCCCCAGTTAAATGGCATGATGGTTGGCTGCTAAAATTACAATAATATCTGCTTGGCTGGACTAATTAGCCCAGTACTTTTTAAAAGGATGGCTCCAGGTTGCTTTTTCTGGCATAATTAAGAATTGGATATTACAAATTAGTGAGCCTTTCTCTTTGATGGCATCTGAGTTTTACTTTCTAGGCCTGTTCATCTAAGGGCTAATTACATTTTTTTAAAGAGTGAGCAATCTCAACCATCTATTAGCTCCAAACATCCTGTACATAGTCTGAAAAGTTGCCTTTCCAAGGGCTCCACTTGATTGTGCTTTCACAGGCCCAACATACAATATGCTCATAACTCTATCTACATTCGCTTTCATGAGGAGAGGGTAAAATTCCTTTGTGGTAGCCTGCGTGCACAACTTATTGGAGACACTGGATTCTCACACACTGAATAGCGAAGGTCTTTAATGGCTTGAGAAGTTCAATACCTCCCGGCTTCCGGGTTGGCGCCACCGGCAATGGCGGAATTCCTCTGATCGGGAGGAATTTGCCTCGTGGAAATTCGGGTCTGGCCGCCACGGCGAAGGCGGAGACCCACTAAAAATCACAGGCGGGTGAAGCCTGTGAACGTGGGATTTGGCGGGCACCTTTTGCGCCTTCCCTACTCGCGGGGAAACCTGGTTTTGGGGATCCGGAGCGACGTGGGGTGAGCAGCGCGGTGCTTCGGATCGACTGCTTCTTCCACGGAGCAGTCTGACTTTTTCTTCCACGGAGAGCGCTGACTTTTTCCTGTGGACAATTTGATCTTAAAGCAACTACCCGTGAGTAGAGTGAAGAATTGGATTTTTAAACGTCTTAATTTGGCACCGAAACGGGGAGGCTCAAAACAGGAAGTCCACCTCCCCTTTTTGTAAATAAGACTGAGGCAAAGAGGTTGCAAGCTAAAGTCTTGGAAAGCCTATTGTAAAGGACTAAATTCTTATCAGTGAAAAATATTAAGCCCCCCTTGGAAGCAGGAGAAGAGGGGGGAGGCTTTGGATTGTGTATCCCTGCAGGAGTGAGTGAAGGAGATTAAAATACCACCGTTCCGAACCTGGAAACGGGCTGCTAGTAAGACCGACGTGTTTTGGAAGGTTCATTGACAGCGAATAGAATGTTCGGTGACAGCTAGCATAAGAGAGATACATTGTTTCCATTGTCTTCGTCTGTACTTAAAAAGGAGTAAAAGTAATGGAAAATTGAAACAACTTTATTGAACTTTATTAAAAAAGGAGGAAAGTAACTGAAAATTGAAACTAACTTTGGATTATTGAAACTGTGTTTAAAAGAGGACATACTGACTGATACAAATACAACTCGCTTTCCCCTAGTGGAAGCTTTTGAAATTGGTTACATTATAGGAGCTGGGCTAGGGGAATTTCCAGCTGCAAGATAAAAAAGTGTGAGACTTTGGAACTGACCTTGAATCTCTTAAGTGTTATGGCAAACGGAAAGGAAAAAACAGACGGGATGTCGACAGAGGAGGCCTTAGTGGCTGCATTATTGAAAATAAACGATTCGCTGGAACAACTCCACAAGAAAACAGATGCGATAAATGTGAAATTGGATGTCGCAAATATTGAAATTGATTCAACTGTAGAAAGTTTAAATAACTTGGGACAAAAGGTGAATACCAATTCAGAAACCACCCAGAAACTGACACAGGAATCTACTTCGATATGGCAAACTGCAGATGAAGTCAGGGGAAAAACCCTTGCTGCTGAATCTAAAGTAATACAACAGGAGAGGAGAGTCCCATCCATACAAAGACAACCTGACGAACATAAGTGGACATTCGTTATGATTGAACTTAAAGAAGAATGGATGAATTTGAGGACCAGAGCCCTATCCGACTTGGAAAAGGAAAGCTTGGCAGAGTTTCAGGAGGTGACAGGACTAACATTGGTTGAGAAAGAGAGGTATTTGGGGGTTAGTATGACCGCCAAAAATGTGAATCTGCTTAAGGATAACTGTGAAGGATGTTGGATTGAAGAGAAGGGGGATTTGGAAATATGGACAAATCAGAAGTTATTACTGTTAGGCCGAGTTATTGTGGTGGGGATGAGGGCTGCTGTGTTGCTGGGGATGTTGCTTTTGTTTCAAACATTGCAAGCTTTGGATGGGATGGAGGGTTTCAGGAGGTGACAGAGGGATGCTCCTAGAGTTGTTTGGCAGGGCAGGAAGCCTCGAGTAAAATTTAAGATATTGATGGATGCCAAAGAAGGAGGTGGACCTGCCCTGCCAGACCTTTAAACTTTGCTGTGAACCATCTGCTTTTTGCTGGTTGAGAGAATGGTTGCTTTTGAAAACACTGAAGCGTTGGACAATGGCAGATGAAGTTGATGGACTATATGGAATTGGCGGAAATGACTGGCAAGATCCGAGACCAGGGTGAAGAGTCAGTGGAAGAAGATTGGAAAAAGTTTAAAGACTATTTATAGAAATACAGTGGTGCCTCGCAAGACGAAATTAATTCGTTCTGCAAGTTTTTTCGTCTTGCGAATTTTTCATCTTGCGAAGCACGGTTTCCCAAAGTCTTCAAAATCACCAAAGTCTTCAAAAACCTCTAAAAGGGCTACCACACCGCGTGCTATGAGTTGCTCCTCGAAGTCACCCTGGGTATTAACGGTTTTAAGAAAAAGGAAACAAACTTGCAAGACATTTTCATTTTTCGTCTTGCGAAGCAAGCCCATAGGGAAATTCGTCTTGCGAAGCAACTCAAAAAATGAAAAACTCTTTCGTCTTGTGAGTTTTTCGTCTTGCGAGTTTTTCGTCTTGCGAGGTACCACTGTGTTGTAAAATTAAGGAATGTTAGAAAAATGTTGGAATGAAATTATATGGCTTTAGCAGAAATGTCATAAGGAATTAAGTATAAATAGATTAATAGAAAATTAAAGGAAAAGTATGGCAAGAATGTGTTAAGATAATTATAGAACAGAAAATAGAGTAAGATGGAAAGGAATTGCTGAAACAAATAATAGAAGTGGAATACAAAAAGGGAGGTGGGAGGAGGTCGCTGGAAATAAGTGAATGAAATATAAGATATTGAAAATGTTTGAGGTGTTCTTAAATTGTTTTTGCTTGTTTTTGTTTGTTTTGTTAGTCCATGTAGCGTTTTCGTATTGTATTTGCATTGTTTTTTCTTTTTTCTTTTTTTGTTTGTAGTGTTGTGTTGGAAATGTTAAAAAAGTAATAAATATCATTTAAAAAAAAAAAAAAAGTTCAATACCTCCCATACAATTTAATCAAAGCTGCTTTCAAATTAATGGAAGTATTTCCAAAAACAACAGAAAGATCAACATAGCGAATCAAATCAATCCTGTGGCTGGTACCTAAAAACTAGAAAACTGGGACAGGAAACACATGGCCCACCCAGATGTTCTTGAAGTCCCATCCCCATCAGCCCCAGCCAGTTTACCCAATGGTCAGGGATGATGTGAGTTGCAGTCCAGTGACACCTGGAGGGGCACAAGATCACCTCCTCTCCAGACTGTACCATTTGTAACCGATCTACACCACTGCCATAGCTTCACAGACAAAGCCACTTCCGAGCTGGGGAGGAGGTGGGGTTGCGGGCTTCACGCCCACCCCACGTGCGTGGGGGCTGTTTCCAGCCCCCGCGAGACTGGGGGAATCCCGGCCGTGTCGTCTACCCAGCCAGCCAATCGGGTGGCTGGAGAGGCGTGGCCTGCCCTATTTAGGGCCGGTGTGGCCGATGTGGCCGGGGCTCGCCCTCTTTTTGCCGCGCCAGCTGACCCAGTTTCCCACCCTCCCTCCCTTTAGGCAGGCTTCTGACTTTGCTCTGGACTTTGGTTGGTCGCCGCAAGGGGCCTGGTAGGAATTTTTCCCAATTGGCAAATTTCAGCCACTTGGTTTTTCGCCTACCTTGTAGCAACTCATCACAACACCTTGGCATTGACGGTTAGGCATTGGTAAGGAGGGGTTAAGAGTATGTGGGGGGGGAGGAAATGCCATCACCTCCCCCCAAAGCAAAGGGTAGTCCGATAAAGGACTCGGGGGGGGCGGTGCCCTGTCCGAAGCCTATGGAGGTGTGGGCCTAAGGCACGCCCCCAAGCGGTGACACCTGGGGGAGCCTAGTTGACGTACTTCAGCAGGACTCCCCCCCGCTGGCGATTAACCCTTGCCGGTCTTCATGCAATTGGGCTGAAGCCGGCTAGTCGATAGGACCAATGCCTTAATGATGGCTGACTGGGAACAGTTATGGACCACAGGTATGAAGTTTACGGCATGTAATGCCTTAAGAGAGAATATTATGAAAATGATATACAGGTGGTACATGACACCAGTCAAGCTTGCAAAAATCTATCATTTGCCCGATAATAAATGTTGGAAATGTAAGGAAACTGAAGGTACATTCTTTCACCTTTGGTGGACGTGCCCAAGGATTAAGGCTTTCTGGGAGATGATTTATAATGAAATGAAAAGGGTATTTAAATATACCTTCCTGAAGAAACCAGAGGACTTTCTCCTGGGCATGGTCGGCCAAATGGTGCTAAAGGAGGATAGAACTTTCTTTATGTATGCCACAACAGCAGCAAGAATACTTATTGCAAAATATTGGAAGACACAAGACCTACCCACTCTAGAAGAATGGCAGATGAAGGTGATGGACTACATGGAATTGGCCGAAATGACTGGCAGAATCCGAGACCAGGGAGAAGAGTCGGTGGAAGAAGACTGGAAGAAATTTAAAGATTATCTACAGAAATATTGTAAAATTAATGAATGTTAGAATGATGTTAGAATGAAATTAAGTGGTTTAAGCAGCAATGCTATAAAGGCGTATGCAAAAATGGACAGTTAACAGGTGAAAATCCAAAATTATAGTATATTAAGTTAAAGGAGTAAGAGAAAATAAAGAGGGAAAGAAATTGCTTTATTAACTAACTGAATTGGAATACAAAAAAGGGAGGTATGAGGAGGTCAGGGAAGTAAGGAAATGAATGTAAGGCATGGAAAAACTGATGTATTTTTAAGTGTTTTTTATTCTTTTTTTTTCTGTACTTTGTATTTTGCATTTTTCTTGTATTTTTACTTTTGTTTTTGTTTTTTGGTTTTTGTTTTTTCTCCTTTTCTTTACTTATGTAATTCTTCTTTTTGAAATCTTAATAAATATCATTTTTTTAAAAAAAGATAGGACCAATGCCTAAGCCAATACCGCTCATTCCTGTAATCAATAAAGTTGTCGCCCATTAACCTAATACTTGGTGTCTTGTGTCTTTATTTCTCCACGCAAGTGAGCCCCTGAACACTGAAACCAGAGCAGCACACGGAAACGCCGTTTACCTTCCCGCCGGAGTCTGTAAGCTGAAGCGTCTGTAACCTGAAGTGTCTGTAACCTGAGGTACCACTGTACCTTTTAATTACTTTACAATTCCACTCAATGTGGCAAAACATCCCTTCTTTTCTCTTTATACTTCCAACATACAGTGGTACCTCAGGTTAAGAACTTAATTTGTTCCGGAGGTCCGTTCTTAACCTGAAACTCTTCTTAACCTGAGGTACCACTTTAGCTAATGGGGCCTCCCACTGCTGCTGTGCTGCCGCCGTGCGATTTCTGTTCTCATCCTGAAGCAAAGTTCTTAACCCGTGGTTTTATTTCTGGGTTTGCGGAGTCTGTAACCTGAAGCGTTTGTAACTCGAAGTACCACTGTATATTAGAACTTGTGAACTCTGTGGGACGTCTGAGTAGCAGGAAGGTCATGTCTACCTTGGGAGAAACAGGAATGTCCCACACCCTCAGTTTACTTACCTGGGTTGTGCATCAGTGGCTGCAAAGCACTGACAGTGGGTTCTGGTGAGATCTTGTGAGATTTTGGCAAGATCTTGCTGGAAACTGATCAGGCAGGCAGGGCACCTGCAGGGACACAATCTCTTCTGCTTCTGCCACCCAAGGCACCTGGTTCACCCCACCTCATGGGTGGGCCAGGCCTGCTGAGTAGATATTATAGGATTGCACTGGTACTAACCAATTTCTAGCTTCTGCAGAAGCAGTTGCTTCAAAATTAGAGCTTACTTAATCGACAGCAAGTTTCAAGAACTGGAACAAAGATATGAACAGCAAGTTCAGTGATGAACAGCCACTGCCCAAAGTAGAGGCCACTGCTACTGAAGAAATTCAGAAAGGACAAATAAATCTGAGTGACCAGTTAAATGAGCGCAGACAGATTTAAAAGTATGTGAGTCAGCTGTTTCCAATAGCATCCAAAAACTTAATTTTTTTTTTAAAAAGAAACAACTGGCAGCTTTAGATAACAAAAATAGAAGGTGTAATTTAAGTAGTTGGAAGAAGACATGTTGATAGCATATACAGAGGATTTATTTGCAACACTCCTGGGTTCAGAATCAAAATGTTTCTCTAGAAAGAGCTTATTGTATTAACTAAACCTATGCCAAAAAAGCAGATTTTAGATAGAGATGTGCCTTGACTTTTAAAGATCTAAGTTCAAGAGTCCTGGCATTAAAGATGGACAATCCAAATTTCAGATTAGATGGCAATCAGTTTTTACTTCTAATGCTTCATTCACCTATAACTTCATGAAAAGGGTGTGAATTGTGCTTTGCCACAGGCAGGCTGATAAGGGAAGAGATTCAATATAAATGGCTCTTTCCCTTTAGATGTGTTTAGATAGATTATAATATAACTCCTTCCTGGAGAATATGGCTGCTAGGACTGGAAGTTGGGACTTTATTACACCAGTACTTGAAGAACTACGCTAGCTTCTGATACATTTCTGAACACAACGAAAAGCAATACTCCTCCAGGTGCTTCTGCCATCTAAGGAGAAGCAAGTGGTTATCCTCGGAGGAACCATTTTTGTAGTGACACTTTGCTTATGGAACTTGCTCCATGGGGATGCATTCCTGGATACTACTTTGCTTGATTTGCAGCATCAAGCAAGGACTTTTATTGTTCGTTTTCCAACAACTTTGCAAGTATTTTTCTTAATCCTATCTGAACTGCTGCTTTTAAAATTTTGCTCTGCTATAATGCATTGCATGGATTTTATTGTGAGCTCCACTGGAAGTCATTAAAATGCTCAATGTTTTGGCAGTTTTAGGATTACATCCTGAAGAATTCCTCTATTCGGTTGAAAGGAGTTAGATATTGATTGCAGAATCACTTTAAGTATTTTGTATTTCAGAGCTTAGGGTACTTTTTTGGTGCTTTTCTGAATGTTCCTGAACTTTGGTGAGCTGTTTTGGTTCAGTCCTAGTGTAGTCTCAAAGTTCTCAGTCATCGCATTCTTTGAGGAGATTTCACCCCTCCCATATCCAAGAATCTCCTGAGGAGTCTGCTGATTCTCCAGAGAGGAGGAGGCGTGCTCTGCTCTCTACTTATTCTGTTCCAGCACCAAGTCAGTCAGTCAGTGTCGGAAAGAGAGAGAGAGACTGAGTGTTAGAGATCGTGTGTAGAGATAAGGTTGCTGCTAAGAGCAGCTGCAGACACTCAGTGCAGTGCAGCATTCATTTATGCTTAGACCTATTTAGCTCTGTATATAGTTGTATAATAGTTGTAGATAGAATAAAGAAGATATTCTACAGAGCTGCTCTCCGAGTTGTTTATATACTCTGCTAGAGTCTGCTGTACTCTGCTGTGCGACGACTGTCTTCTTGTGGAAGTGAATCCGGTGCTCACAACTCTAAGCTGTGAGTCCACAGCACTTTGACCTGTTCCTGTGCAGAAGGTGGTCTCTGGAAGTGCTACCCAGCTCGCCTAGCCCAGTCGGGGCTGAAGTGGATGAGTCCAGTTGGTGGCACTGGCTCAAAGGCGATGCTGACATTCTTTAGCCTCCTCCTCCTCCTTCTCCTCCTTCTCCTTCTCCTCCTTCTTCTCCTCCTCCTCCTCTTCCTCCTAATCTATTCACACAAGTGGATTACTATGAAGCCATTTTGCAATTACTTTAGTGGTCTATATTGCTGTTGAGTTGATAAACATACTCTAAGATCTCTTCACATTAATCTCCTCTGCCTTCATGTTTTTACCTTTATCTTAAATAAAGTTATTCCACAGTAAGACATGTATGCAAGCCTGATTCATTTTAGGAAGCATTATATATGCACAACTGAGCACAGAATTTGCAGTAAACAAAACTACAGACTGCTTTAGAAATAGTGTATACATCTATGCATTGAGAGACCTACCTTCTGAGGGAAGGATGGAATTTCCGTTCCTTGAATTACACTGTATTTGATAGCATACTGAACAGTCTAACAATTGTTTCTGCTACTCTGTAATTTATTGGTCCTGCTTCTGCAAAATCATGAAGGTATATAGAATAATTCTCCATGTATAACAGGTCTTACATTGATTACTTACACCGATGACAAGTCCCACTCGTTCTCCTCTGATGTGTCTAATTTCCATCTAAAAGGAAAAAGGACACAGTTCTGGGATTGTCTCTGAAGAGATAACAGTGGCTTTTTCTCTCCCTTCTAAAAGCAAATAAAGAAATAAATTGCGTTCTTTTCACACTGTTCTGTTTTATATTTGCCTTCTGTTTGTATTTCTGACAAAGATGAACAAGTTACCTACACCAAAAGCTTCCAGTTAACATTAGAATACCCCCCTTTTTAGAAGACCCTGAAAATGCCTTTTAAAAATCCCAGACGTAAAATAGGTAATGATTTAGGGATCAAAGGGGGAAGCTCTTGGCCAGACCAACAGACCAACTATGAGCAACTATGAACTGTGGGCACTCAAATGCCTCTCTCTCTCTCTGCCAGATCTTTGAGCAGAAATGAAGGCGAAGGGAGAAATTCTTGCACATTTCTGGGAGGGCTTGAAGCCTGCTGATATGCCAGTGTGTGAATTCCTTGCAAACTGTTTTGCAATATCTTCTGGTGGCTGGTGTCTTAATTTTACTTTTAAAATGAGGCTGTATTTCAGCAGCAGAGCACAGGACAGCTTCCATACATTTGGGAAATGGGGGCCTGCCAACTCAATATTACAAATATTCAATGGGGGTAGCATTCTTTCCCCCACAGTGATGTGTTCACAGATGGATCTTTACCCTCTCCCTTCTAGTAGCAGCTCCTCAAACCCTTGAAAAGATCCTCTCAAGTGTTGAGGAACCCTTGGAGTGCCCTTTCAGTCACTGCAGGAGGCGCAATCAATTGCAGATATGGAAATGAGCACCTGAAGTTGCCTGAGAGCAAGTCAGACCATTGAACCACCTAACCTAGTATATTGTACTCCAACTTGTGGGATGTAGTCCATTGGAGCAGTCAAATACAACATTCCTTGTTTCCCTAGAGGGGACACAGGCAGGGGGATGTTAGTCCAGCCAGTATAACTTCCTGTTCCACTGGTCTGGAGCGTCCTCCCTCTGTATGTGACCAGGGAGATGGGTGTGACCCTGGATGACTCCATAAAAGAGCCATGTCACACAGCCATCTTTCTCTCTTGATGCCATGCTGCTCTCCTGCAGCCATTTTGTTCTCTTGATGCTCTTCTTTTAATGTATTTTGCTGTCTGCTGGCTCTCAGGCAGCAGCACATGGGCTCAGTCCCAATATGGGATTAACTCACACTTTGTTATGTAATTACAAGCTAAAGCCTGCCTTCAGGGACCATACTGTGAACTGAATGTGAGTAAACGTCTTGTAACTTTTTAGGAAAGACTTTTGTGCCTTTATTCTTTTAATAGGGATAAAAGGGGACACCAGGAATAATCCATCTGGGCAAGCCAGATTGGATTGCTTAACTAAAGAGATTCAAATGAATCTGCAAACTAGCTTCCTGCTGTATTGAGGGGAATCTGCCCTGCTACATGACTCACTATTATGTGTGAAGGAAGGATAATATTTAAACAATATATCCTCTCATACTATCCTTAACCCCTTCATGGATCACTGCCTTGTCGTGGCGAAGGGGCTTGAGTAACTCAGGGAAGCTATGAGCTATGCCGTGCAGGGCCACCCAAGATGGACAGGTCATAGTGGAGAGTTTTGACCAAACGTGATCCACCTGGAGCAGGAACCGGCAAGCCACTCCAGTATTTTGCCAAGAAAACTCCATGGACATAAAAAAGGAGAAGCTTTGAGAAGGAAGTGAGAGTTTCCAAGGCATGATCTGGATCATGGGGTCACGGAGAGTCGAACATGACTAAAATGACTAAACAATAAGAACAACTATCCTCACGAAATTAAAAGACGCCTGCTTCTTGGGAGAAAAGCAATGACAAACTAGACAGCATCTTAAAAAGCAGAGACATCACCTTGCCAGCAAAGGTCTGTATTGTTAAAGCTATGGTTTTCCCAGTAGTGATGTATGGAAGTGAGAGCTGGACCATAAAGAAGGCTGATCGCCGAAGAATTGATGCTTTTGAATTCTGGTGCTGGAGGAGACTCTTGAGCGTCCCATGGATTGCAAGGAGATCAAACGTATCTATTCTTAAGGAAATCAGCCCTGAGTGCTCACTAGAAGGACAGATCGTGAAGCTGAGGCTCCAATACTTTGGCCACCTCATGAGAAGAGAAGACTCCCTGGAAAAGACCCTGATGTTGGGAAAGATTGAGGGCACAAGGAGAAGGGGATGACAGAGGACGAGATGGTTGGACAGTGTTCTCGAAACTACCAACATTAGGTTGACCAAACTGCGGGAGGCAGTGGAAGAGAGGAGTGCCTGGCGTGCTTTGGTCCATGGGGTCACGAAGAGTCGGACACAACTAAATGACTAAACAGCAACAAATCCTTAACATTCCCACACAACTGACAAACTTTGATGGGTTTTGGAGAAACGAAGCTGGGAATATCTGCATAAGAAGCCATGGAGCTACAGCTCTTCCCTGAAAGTGTTCCACATTCACATGTTACAGGTGGGACAGAATGGAACCAAACCCAGAAGAAGCACCTGGATCATGTTTAGAACCAACTGCTGTAAGCTGTTCTGAGTCCAATGGGACAGAGTAGAGTGTAAATCTAGCAAATAAGCCATTTCCTCTTGTGCACACCCGGGGGGCTCCTTTTTGGCTTTCTCAGTTTAAAGAGCCCTGCTGGGTGCACATATGAGAGCTTTCTGGATTGGGCCCGACATGCAGAGAATGAGACTAGAGAGACAGAAAACAAAGATGCAATTTCTCCCTTGGCAGCACTGCTTAACTCCAAGACTTGAGGTTGATTGCTTCCTAATAGAACTGTCAGCCACTTAAAGACCTTACTTGATCAACTACCTTGCTTGCAATTGATTAATTAAAATAAATATTACAGTATATATCTCCTCATCAGGGCTATTTTGAGGCTACTTAATCAAAATAAACAATTCCCTTGATTAAATTAAATGGCAATGCCATGGACTCGTTAGCAAATGGACTTAAAATGCACTGCCTGAAATTAGGCTTCACTCCAGGTTTTTCTGAAGCAGTGGAATTTCAGCTGTTGGCAGTAGGGCTTTGACACTGTAATGGGAGAAACAGGGGAGGCAACTGGCCAGGAGAAGATTCATATGCAAAGCAGTGAATATGGGTTTTAAAATTAAATAAAAACAAGATGTACTTATGCTAGCTAGTTAATTTTTGCCCTTTCTGTTCTCCCTCAGACCAGAAATGGAAGTATCTCTGCTGGGAAGATGGATTTTAAAATGGTGCCAACACACACACACACACACACACATACAAAAACAAGACAGGAGAAAACAAAGAGCTTCTTCAAACGCTACATAATAACATTATGGAGTTCACTGCCGTAAGCTGTGGCAATGACCTTACGCTTAAATGCTTCTTAAACGGGTTAGACAAATCTGTAGGGAATAATTCTATCCATGGCTATTAACCGCGATACCTAAGCAAAACCTACAAAGTTCAGAAACTGTGTAGCTCTGAGGACCAGATGCCAGGGGTAAGTAATAGGGAGCAGCCATCCCCTTCACCCATTGCTTGTGAACTTCCAGAAACTGTTAGAAACATAAAATTGAATCCAGCAAGGCAGTGCAACTTGCCATAGCTTAATCTGTGGTGTTATAGAGGAATGCCTCAGTCTAACTTTCATTGTAAATTGCCTTTACAGCTTCAGTGAAATTCAGTTTTAGGGCTCACCTTCTTTTTGTGATTGGATGTTGTTTTAAACTGCTTTTAATATTGTGTTTTAATGTTGTTTACCCACCCTGGGACCTTAGCGCGAAGGGCAGGTTAACAACAACAACAACAACAACAGTTATTTCAGGCACATTTATAACCTATATACAAGATTAATATTTCAAAATGCAGTGCTCTCAGTCCCTTATAGTTTGCAAACTGTATTCTATTGTTTGGATCCAGGGATCCAAGGCTGAAATTCAAAACTTACTTTTTTGAAAAACTCATCATTTATTGAGCTGTTTTGTGCTTGTGTGCATGTGCACACACAGATGTCCATGCTCACACATGTGCAAGCCATGCCTTCCAATTCCGTATATCCTGACAGATCTAACTTGGATATTGGGTCGCTGTATTTGTAGCACAGTTCTTTGAGAAAAGGATCAAACTGGATTTCGTCCAGATCGTAATATGTCCTCTTTCACTCTTTTGCAAGTTCTCAGAATGTTAGAATGAGTTTGGTGGAGTTTGTTCATCTTGTTATGTCAGTATCTTGCCAAAGATTTATAGAGAGTATACTGTATTCCTATAATTCCAGCATTATGCATGGCCAATGAAGGAGTGTTTGTAATGGAAATCTTACTGTATATTTGCAATGCAAAATTGCATGTCCTTTTTTTTTAATGTCTCAAGTAGCAGCACTTTATAATTTGTATGTTTAAGCTTTTATAATAAATATGTATAAATGTATTAGTTCATATGTTCAAAGCTGGCTGCTGAAAGTTGTAAATTTCTAGTGGGATGAATCTACAGCCAGGATTATTAGGATGGGCGCTGGTGTTAGCTGTTTACTAAATAGAAATAATCAACAGAGTAAATGTAGGGCACAATCCTATACTGATGATTAGCTGGCTGTGGAAGGGATGGCTAACCCTTGGCATGTGGGCTGGGTCCAATCCCTCACAGGGTTTTTCTCCCCAACACAACAGTGTTGTGATGGGGAGGAAATTTGTGGCTCTCTAGACACCCCTGGACTACTTCTCCCATTGTCCCAGAACCCTGGTCTATGTGAACAGGAGTCCTGCAATATCTGTAGGGCTGGAGATTAGTTACTCCATATTGGATCAAATTGAGGACAGCAAAAAAATACATTTAGAGGATGTCCAGTATAATAATAATATAATGGTGCCAAGTTTTAAAACAGGGAGCATGGGTGCGTGTGCCTGGAAACGACCTACTCACATTTCAGAAACAATTACAAGCCAACACCCCTCTGAATATTTGCTTGGCTCAAAAATAAGAACAGTCCATTCTGAGCTGCCCTCCTTTCACCTTCGTTTTCCTCAAACCTTTCCTTGTCGTAGCAAAGAACTGGGAGTCCTACAGCCCTACTGGGTACTTCCTCTTGGTAAGGATTTTGGGCCTCACAAAGGCTGGAGGAGGAGCCACCCCTCCTGAATCTTGTGGGTCCCCTGCCTGTGTTACTGTGACGTTAACATATGAGAGTGCTGGAGGTGAAATAGTTAAACAAGTTACCCAATCAGAACCCAGGGGGGTGGAGTCAGAGGGACTATAAAACCAGCTCTGGGAGGGGCAAAGGGAGGAGTTTGTTGGGAGTTGGGTGGTTGGTTGGAGTGGGAGTGAATTGGGATAGAGTCTGGGGGTAGGTTGAGTTAGTGTAGAGAAATAATCTGAGTCAGGAACAGTTAGGAGTTAGGAAATATCTGTGAGTGAGAGCAGGTAGTGGAAGTTATAGCTCTGGATAGGCACCCCATGAATGTAATTGACTGATACTGTTTATGAAACCACACGCTTGTTAAACTGCAATAAATAAACAAAAGTTTATGTTCCAATTTAACCCTGACTGGACTCAGTATTGTACCAGGTAGGGCCTGGGTGGTGGCAGCGAGAAATAAAGTGGTGGCACAGGGATCAATAGACGGTGAAACATCCGGGGACCCTGTGTGATCACCACAGTTACATTCATGCAGTTGAAGGTAAATTTGGGGAACAGGGTGGGATCACAAGGCAGGAGAAGAGGGAAGGTTGGGGCCAACAAGGAAGAAGTTGGAATGGCCTGGACCTTCTACAAGATTCAGGGAAAGTCTGAGTTCTTCACAAATATCCCCCTAAGCAATTCACAAGAATTCTCTGGGAAAGCTTGGAAACAATTCCATTTTGATTCTGAATTGAGATTTCCATGATCAAGCAAATCTGATTCCCCCCCCCCAACCTGAACAGATTAGGTTGACCCAGTGCTGCTAATGATCAAGAGACCCAAATTTTCCATATGTTTGCTGCATTCATGCAGATGAAGGACTTTGATACAGAGACAGACAGCTAGTTAATGTTTATGGTATGTGAGTCTTTTGCTCACGTCAGACTTAAATGCCTGTGAAATATCAAATATTTTCTGCAGAGGGGCTCAGAGAACGAAATTCAGTGTGACTTTTCAAGGTTTCTCATCTCCAGAGGGGGGAAAAATAGAAAAAGAGGTTCCTTTTCTCTCTTTTTTTGAGCAGAAAACAAATTCAGCTCTTTTTTCTCCAGCTGTTATTTTCCAGGGGCCATGCTTTCCAATATGAAATAAGGTGGTAGAAATATTATTTAGCGGATAAAGTGATTTGAAAGAGAGATTGAAAGTGTGTCTGATGTGACATTTTCCATGCTGCACTATAAAATTTGCAAGGGAAATAAAGCCAGCCAGCCACTCTTTATACCTTAGGCATTGCACACACCACATGACTCCCACCCCCTGCAGGCACTGATGACAGCTTTTTGCTCACTGTCAAACTGATTCAAAGGGGCGAAAACCACAGCTGTTTTGCCCGTTTCCACTGGAGCTTCCTACTGGGAGTCAAAAGGGCTAGGGAGGCTTATGTTTTGAAATACCCTTTTTTAAAATTTCCATTCTATTCTGTTTAGCTAACACAGCTCAGATTACCTGGTCTGCGAAGCCCTTTTAAAATGGTTCTCAGATAATAGAGAGCATTACTTGCAAGCAACTCTCATAGATTTCGGTGCTGAATAGGCGGAAGACTAGAAACTGTCCATAAGTTTGTGAAAGCATCTGTACCCTTGTTGCTCTGAACTTGTATATGAGTCAGTTTACCTACATGTGAACTCTCCACCATTTTCCCTTAGATCAAGCAGGTAGAAATGGAGGCTACAACTGGATTATATAGGCTAAACGGGTTATTTTCTTGCAGACTTCTTCTAAACCTTTAGAGCTGCAAAATAAAGCCCAGAATCTCTGCTCAGAATCTCACGATATACACTTGGAGGCCTCTACAAGCATATCCAGGCAGGCCTCCCGTCAGCTGAAGAAACCAAATTTTGAGTGACCTCAAAAGCGCTATGTAAGCACTGAGCAGCGTGGGCTAATGAAAAATGGTGAGCCTGGGATTCAAGGCTTTAATTGCTTTGCCCATGGAATCAGGATGGGGGGAAGAATCTGCCAGACTCAGATTGCAAAGCAGACTCACACAATTCAATCCCAGCAAATTATAACTATAGTGTACTTAAGAATCTGCAGTCCAGTGGATTCAACATTTCTGCAGTAATCCATTAAAGAAATTCCCATCGAAATTCTTCATCGTTTTGGTGAAAATTTCTCATAATCATATGCAGTTTTGACTTAAGTACAGTGGTACCTTGGGTTAAGAACGTAATTCATTCTGGAGGTCCGTTCTTAACCTGAAACTGTTCTTAACCTGAGGTACCACTTTAGCTAATGGGGCCTCCTGCTGCCACCGCACCACCGCCGCACGATTTCTGTTCTCATCCTGAAGCAAAGTTCTTAACCCGAGGTACTATTTCTGGGTTAGCAGAGTCTGTAACCTGAAGCAGCTGTAACCTGAAGTGTCTGTAGCCAGAGGTACCACTGTACAAATCATGGGGAGGGGGATGTATAATAAAGGTGGCAACCATTTTGCACAGGGTTTCTGTTCCTGACCCCTGCATGCATTGGCAGAATGTACATAAAACCCTCTTGCTCCATTACACCCTGGTTAGCCCCTAATCCAGGGGTCAGCAAACTTTTTCAGCAGGGGGCCGGTCCAATGTCCCTCAGACCCTGTGGGGGGCCAGACTATATTTTGAAAAAAAGAAAGAAACCAAATTCCTATGCTCCACAAAAAAACCCAGAGATGCATTTTTAATAAAAGGACACATTCTACTCATGTAAAAACAAGCTGATTCCCAGACACAGGCTGGATTTAGAAGGCAATTGGGCTGGATCCAGCCCCCGGGCCTTAGTTTGCCTACCCATGCCCTAATCTGTCCTCTTCCATGTCAATCACCGTGCATCAATTGTCACTGCCTGTATAATGCATTTTGAATGCTATTTTCACTAATTTTATGCCCATTTCCCCCAGCATTTGTATATTTGCAAATACTGGTTGGTTGGAAGATGGTACCATAAAATTTAGATAAGTGTGAATTTCAAAAAGATGTCTGAGTTTCAGATCTCACATTGTTTCAAAAAACATGGATTTGATAGATTTGGCTTTAAATTCGAACTGAAATTAATTCTCCCTCCTCGTCTCCTTGTGGTATTTTTATGCTGCGAACCACCCTAAGATCTATGGATGAAGGGAGGTGTACAAATTTAATTAACGACAACAACAATAATGTAAATATGCCACCTGTATCCTCCCTGATATCTGATATACAAACAGTGCTTTTTCTGGGGGGTACTCAGAGGTATGCAATACTGGCACCTGTCCCCCCAAGTTAAAATTGTGGCACTTACTGTAACAACTTCATGGTGAGTACCAATACTTTTTTCTTTTTAAAAAGCACTATATACTAGGACAAGGATATGGTAGGTCTTTATGATAATGTTATGGCCCATTATTTCCATTGGCTTCTACCGCATCTAGATACTAAAATAAAACATAAATTTAGTGCTATGTATTTCTTGAAAGATGCCATTTACATGAACTGTCATAGCTCCTTCCTTTATTTGCACCTCTACAGTGCATTAATGATTGATCTTAACAAATATAGTTGGGCCTTAGGATCCCACAAAATTTATGCTTTGCTTTATTTTTAGCCTTGTCAGCACTGCAAGCGTAAATGTAGAACTCTTTCAAACAGTAAATACTGAATATTGCACCTTTAACTATTATATCCCCCCGATTCTATAATAGCATTGAAACAGTTTTGATTCTGATGCACTCAGCAAGTAAACAACTGCAGTTATTTAGAACCATTTTGAATTTAGCAATGAAAATATATTTTCAGCTTCTGAACATTGGAGCAAAGAGGTACAAGAAGTCACCTGTGATAGGAGGTTACTAGATAACCTTTGACAAGCCTCCAGTATAAGTTGCTGGGGTTTATACATGTTCAACACAAATCAGGAGTGGAGTCCGTAAGGCAGTTGGATGGCTCCTTGTACACCTCCTTATGACAACTGCTACAGCCAAGCTGGTACCAAATGTGTTGCTCTGTTTTGCTTTGGAACACATCAGCGAGGCTGCAAGTGGGAGTCTTGTCATCTGGGCAACCCAAGACCTCCGTACACACTGCTCAGGCTTGCACCCCGGAGACGTCACTTTTGCTGATGCAGCAAAAACAATGCTGGAGGCAACCGTTACGAGATACAGCCTCTACAGCCACAGCAGGCGCTGTGATGCTCCAGTGGTTTGACTTCACCCCTGGAGGCGCACTCCATTGTCTCTCGAGACAGACAGATAACTTTCATTTAATCCTGAGTTTGGTGTTTCAGAAAGGAGCCCAGAGCATGCCTGATTTGGGTTGAGGTCTAAGGAAGAGCCTGAGCCTCTTGAATATCCTCCTTTCACTCCTCCATTAAGACTACAGTGCAGCTGATTTGCATTTGGTCTCCAGGAAGCTGCATGCAAAGGGACAGTTGGAGGTTTGATTCAACTCTGCTGCCTCTTGCAAACTAGCTACGCTCCCCTAACAGACCAGGGCCTTGGGCTGCGCTTAAACTAATTGTTAGGTTCCATGCTGTTGTTAATTCACATCATGGAAGTCTTAGACTTTTGAGTTGCATTACATTCTGGACAGAAAAAGCATGAGAAAGTTTTGAAGTTATATATGTTATGTGGAGACCCCCTCCACTCCTTCTTTATTACTTATTATTGTGTTTGGGGTATCTTGCACTTTAGCTTCTCCTGCTCTGACCTATTACTTATTTTTCTTATCACTTTGTCAATGCTGCCACCATGTATCTCAGTACCATTTATTTTCTTCCTCTGCATAGTAAGTGTATAAGTGTTGGACAAAATAACACAGAAACCCAACATACAGTAAAAAAAAAGTGATTATATATTAATAGAAACCGATGGTAATGTTTATATGCAGGGCTACTTAATAAAGTAGGTGTTTAACTTTCTTACAGTTGCATTAAATAAGACTGTTTGCAATATAGGGTTGTTGTTGTTGTTTAGTCGTTTAGTCGTGTCTGACTCTTTGTGACCCCCTGGACCAGAGCACGCCAGACACTCCTGTCTTCCACTGCCGCCTGCAGTTTGGTCAAACTCATGTTGGTAGCTTCAAGAACACTGTCCAACCATCCCGTCCTCTGTCATCCCCTTCTCCTTGTGCCCTCCATCTTTCCCAGCATCAGGGTCTTTTCCAGGGAGTCTTCTCTTCTCATGAGGTGGCCAAAGTATAGGGTTATTTTCATCTTAAAATGAAATAGCAAATGCAATTCAATGTTCCTTTCCCTTTGAGGTGGTTATTTGAGTGTCTGTTTCTCCCCCTATTCAAAAACTAAATCCCTCACATCACTCTTTCCCAATTAACATGATCAACTCTGCACCAAGGACTATACTTCCAGTCTTCAATCAGCTCTATGACCTCTTCTCTCTAGAGTCTCATGATTCTCATAGGACTTATGCTGCAGTGGTTCAGCAACCACTGTTGCTTCAGCAATCCCACAGACTCTTGGCTGAAGAGCTCTCCTGAAGGCTTCCTCTTGAGTCATGCACTCTTTCCTTCAGACCTTCTACCTCAATTCTAGCCAGTGACCTCAACTCTTGCCTCTTCCCAGACTTGTTAAGCTTCTCTAAGTGACTTGATGTCCACTGCATGACTCCAACTTCCACTGTTTTTACATACCAGACACCCTGGTCTCAGTCTTTGGCCAGAGCCTAGACAATTATTCTCACCATAAAGATGTTGGAATTTTGGAATCCAAAACCAATGTTTGGGGCAAGTAGTCTTTGGGGAGAGAACCCCAGCAGAGATTTAACATTGCAAAACATACAGCAAAGAAAAACATGGAAATATAAGCTGCAAAACTTTTAAAACGTGCCCTTTCAGTGAGTCCCAAAATGTCCCTTTTTCAAAGCTCTTTCTAAGCTACCCCACTTTCCCATAATAAAGATAGACCACATGTTTGGTAAGTCACAAAATGTTTTACTTACAAAACTCTTCAAAAGTCAGATTCATGTTATTTTCCATGCATTAAAGCAGTCATAAAAGATGCACAGGCAGTCAAAAAGGTTGCTTAGTTACAAAAGGTTATAAAATACTGGTAGAGAAATATGCTAGTTTCAGATTCCATTCTGGAAACAAAAGAGGCTGGGTAAAGCCATGATGTTGGATGAAGCAGCTCAGAGCTCTTTACATCCTGAAATCCACATGGAGAGTGAGAGATAACAAGGGCTTGGTGACCTATTTCTACTCAAGGTGGGAAGTGATGACAATGGGCTAAGCCTGGCAGGGCAGCTTTCTCTATGGTTTAACCCCTTCATGCACTAATTAGATGCAAACATGCTAGGGTTATAAGAGACTAGAACCCTACAAAAGATAGCCTTCTTAGCCAATCATTTCAATATGGGTAGAAATCTGTCCCCTCATTGGCCTATAACTATAATTTGGTAGGAAGACATAGACTGACCAGTTAGAATTTACTAGTTTCTGATGTCTTGGCTCATCTCTATAGAAACAGAAACCTCACTCTCAGAATGAGCCCTGATCCCTGATCAACAACAGTTGAAATGTCGCTAGGCCCCCTGTGGATACACTATAGCTCCACAGCAGAACTCATGACATTTATCCTCTTCATATTCAACTATGCATAAATCCCTTTATACATTTTAAAAATAAAAACTATACCTCAGAAACTAGATGATTCCTTCACATCTTCAAATAAAGTTTGCCCTGGGGGAGAGGGCCAGGAATACAATGTTTTTAAAAAAACAACTTTTGGATATACATATTCCGAGGAAAAAAATATTTCCATAAAGCAACTTCGCAGCATTGTCCAATTTGGACAGAATAAAAACTGAGGTGATCTTCATCACTTTGCGAAACAACCCTTTTCGTCGTCACACTCTGAATTCAAATGGGAGGTGGGCTGATACTTTCCATATGAAGGTAAGCGTGTAGCCGTTTTACATTGATGATGATTTGTGATGACAGCAGAGCAGATTGCTTGATGATAGGTTTGTCTCCTCTATTCTGTTCTCCGCTGTTCTTGTTTTACTCTGCTTCCTCTTTTGATCTTTATATTACCTTTGAGAAACACTTATTTAAGGAACAACATTTCTGCTTTTATTCTTCCAACTGCAATGACAAGACCAATTCTTCGTTACCCAGGGCCCAACAACACATTATGTTAAACACGAGGTGACATTCATGTGTCTTGATTGTTGTTGTTTTATTGTGGGAAGGGGGGTTCATGTTAATACCAGGCATGTGAATACTGTGAATCTGAATGTCTCAAAACCAACTATCAAAAGACCAAGATACTCGCTTTTGGGGAAAAACCAAAGCTTAGAAGCTGGGAACTCCAAGGCCATAAATTAGAACAAAATTATACAAGGCCAAAACTTTGGCGCAACTCCTGTAGGGTTCCTTTTTGGGTCCGCCTTCCTCTGCTTTCTCCCCCCTTGAGAGAGTTCAATCTAGACTTCTTAGAGCTCTCCTCCAAGTCCCCAGATGTGTCTCAAACGCATGGGTGAGATTGGAAATGGGGATGATGAGAGTGGAGGCTAGCATTTGCTTAACATCAATCTACCAGGCATGTGGGGCGGGTAGGATTAGGGTGTGTTTGGCGGTTTGCTGGAATTGGACAAACACCCAAGAGGCAAGTATGAAGTGAGCTAAGGACAGTCCCCAAGCTATTCAGGTTGCCCATTCCAAGGGCTCAACTCAACTACAGTGGTACCTCTGGCTACAAACGCTTCTGGTTATGAACACTTCAGGTTACAAGCTCCACTAACCCAGAAGTAGCTGCTCCTGGTTGTGAACTTTGCCCCAGGATGCGAACGGAAATTGCGTACCAGAGGCGCACGCGCAGCGGGATGCCCCATTAGCCAATGCACACCTCAGGATAAGAATGGTTTCAGTTTAAGAATGGACCTCTGGAACGAATTAAGTTCGCAACCAGAGGTACCACTGTATTGTGTTGTCATTCCAAGCTCAGCTCCCAGTACTGTATGAACAAGACTTTTAGCTGCCTGAGGCAAAGGACATGATGGCACTTCTCTGTTCCATGAGCAGAACCCAAGTGGACTGGCAACAGAATCTTTTGTTGTTGTTTTTTAAATGATATTTATTAAAGTTTCCAATAAAAAAAAAGACACATCAATAAAAAAGAGTTAAAAGTAGAAAAAAAATACACAGTACACAATACAAAAAAACAAAAAACAAAAAAAGAAAACAGTTAAAAACAATTACCACCTTTTCATTACCACTTTTAAATTTACTTATTTTCTGGACCTCCTCATACCTCCCTCTTTTGTATTCCAGTTCAATTTGTTTGTCCAGCAATTTCTTTCCCTCTTTTTTAATCCCAATCCTTAATCTTAATATAATATAACCTTAAATTTTTACCTATTAAAAGCCAATTTTCCATTTCTTTTAACTTTTTTAATCCTAATCCTTAATCTTGATCTATATATATCTTTAAAGCCTGTACAGCTAGAAGCCACTTAATTTCAATCCATCATCACTCTAACATTCTTTAATTTTGCAATGTTTCTGCAGATAATCTTTAAATTTCTTCCAATCTTCTTCCACCGACTCTTGGCAACAGAATCTTTTGAACAGAGACAGAATTTCCCTGAAACATTAGCAGAATGTGAGCAGCAGTTCATTCAGTTGCAGATATTATTGAGTTAGCTTTCCTGACTATGTATGTATTTAATTTAATTTCTGAAGATCACAGGATCGTTTACAATATAAAAACGAAAAAAATACATAACATGGTAACAAACAAAAGCAACACACACACACACACACACACACACACACACACACATTATAACACCAGCACTTTTATCCTGGTTTCAGTTTTTATTTACACTTTGTTACTTGTGGCATTATGTGGCTTTTTGATCAATATTCTACCACCATGTAACACGAAGTATTATAAGACAGGACAGAATGGTATGTCTGAATGCCACCCGACATTTCAACACGGGAAATTACAGTGCAAAACTCCCAAGATTCCCTGGGTTTGCAAAAGGAGTTTTCCTGCAAAAGCACAGAAATGAGCAGTAAACCTTTGCTAGTTTTCCAGGTGTCATTTACATTGTGTGAAGGATTGTATACAGTGTGGAAATTATCGAGTAAGGAAACACCAAGGAAATGTACTAAAGTGATGCCTGAATGCAGTCATGGTGAGTCAGCCAGCTAGCTCAGGACAGCAACAAACAAGAATCAGTGCCACTGGGATTCTAGGATAATAATGTAGATTCTGCTTACAGCTAAGTTTGCCAGGTCTTCTGAGGATGAGATCCTGAGATGCGGTGGTGGTGCTGGAGCCTGGTAGCCAAAGATTTACTGCAATGCAGTCTTTGCAGGGGCTGACTTTGAAGATTTATAAGAATTTCAGTTGGTACAAAACAGAGATACTAGGCCATTAAATGGGACTGGCTGGGGGAACATATCTCCACCAGTAAGCTACACGCGCTGCTGGTCTATTTCTGGGAATAAGTCAAAATGCTGGTGGTTTTTGTTTAACCCTATGTTTGTAGTCATTTGTAGAAAATACAGCAAGATATTCCACAATGCCTGCTTCTCTCTAATTCTCTGTTCCCACCCCCTCTCTTTCTCTGCTCTTAATCTTAACTCTTTTTTCATGTTGCAGTGGGTTCTTATAATAAATAATAATAAATTTTTATTTATACCCCACCCTTCCCGGTTCAGAAAACCGGGCTCAGGGCGGCTAACAACAAATTTAAAACAGTTAATTGTGATACAACAACAATAAAACAGCTTAAAATACAGTATAAAAGCGTAAATAACAATAAATTCAAAGTTCAAAAATCAATTTAGGGGAAAATCCATCCAATAAACATTAGATGATCAGAAGGGTGGTGGGAATGGGTGATTGACTGATAGGTGTGGTAAACCTTTTTGATGACTGTTAACAACTGCAATCGGTCTTACCAAGTGAACTACGGCAGACCAACACTGCTACCTATCTGTAACTAGAACTACATTGGATTCTTATCTCATTATACATGATAAAGCTATTTTTAGCCATCTCACCCCTTGCTTTTTCCTGTAAGACCAACAGGTTTACCACACCTATCAGGCAATCACCCATTCCTACCGCCCTTCTGAGTAATACCCCTCCCCACCCTCTCACTATATATAAGGGTCTGGTGACTTCTGTTTCAGTGTATCTGAAGAAGTGTGCATGCACACGAAAGCTCATACCAATAACTAACTTAGTTGGTCTCTAAGGTGCTACTGGGAGGATTTGTTTTATTTTATTTATTTTATTTTTTTATTTTGTTTTGCTTTAATCATAACACCATTAAGCTTCCTGGCAATCATAAATGGATGATTACCTGACCTTTTTGAAACCAGCAGTTGAACAGTGTAGGATGCCTAGGGGAAGAAAAAAAAGGCATTTTCTTGGTGCTGAAACAATAGTAGTCAGTGCTAGGAGGATGAGAATGTGGGGGAAATCCCAGAAATGGGGTGCTGCAACTCTGAAAGTTGCCTTCCCAGTCATTTCTTGCCTCACTTCTAAGATTGGACTTACCCAGAAATGAAAGGTAGCACTAAGGAGAGGTGATGATGTTCCTTCTCACTAAGGTCTTATTGTTGGGAAAACGCCCTGTGGGTGCTTGCAAGCCCCCGAAACTATGAGCATCCTTTGGTATGTGCAGCTCTGCAAAAGGCATCTCCCTTCTCTTCCAGTGCACTTCTAGCAACATAGACCAGCTGGTATATGCACACTAATCTTCTGGCAGAAGACAGCAAGAAGCATGAGACATCGGAGAGCTAATCTACTATTTATTCACACACTAAAAAGGTCCAGTCGTGGCCGACTCTGGAGTTGCGGTGCTCATCTTGCTTTACTGGCCAAGGGAATCGGAGTACAGCTTCTGGGTCATGTGGCCAGCATGACTAAGCCGCTTCTGGCGAACCAGACCAGCGCATGAAACGCCGTTTACCTTCCCGCCGGAGCGGTACTTATTTATCTACATGCACTTTGACGTGCTTTTGAACTGCTAGGTTGGCAGGAGCAGGGACCGAGCAACAGGAGCTCACCCTGTCGCGGGGATTCAAACCACCGACCTTCTGATCAGCAAGTCCTAGGCTCTGTGGTTTAACCCACAGCGCCACCCACGTCCCATATTCACACACTATGTACAGACAAAAGCATAATGGTGTCCATTCTCTCCAGCTCCAAGAGAACAAACAGAAAGAAAGAAAAGCGAAAGTACAGTGTAATAGTACCCACAGCGGAAGAGATAAGACCGTCTTCCTTTCCCAGATTTGTCCCAGACAGGCATGTGATTTACAACAATCTCATCTGCAGCATCTGAGGAGTGAAATTGCAAACCCTTATATCATGTGAAAAATTGGGTTTTTAGAACATTTAAAAATGCAAACTGACAGATTCAGACTATGGGAAGGACTCTTTTCGGGGTTGGGAGACAATAGACTAACATTTGTTGGGACTTGGTGTGTGTTTTATATGGGGGATTTTTGGCTGGACCAGCCCCTGCCTAAATATTAGCAATGAAATGTAACTTTATGACTGTCATAAGCAACTGCACCTAAGCCACTCCAACTTCCCCTGCTCAATCTATAATATGGGGATGCTGATCATTTTGGATTTCTCCATTGATTTCAGTGGGTAGCATCCACTTCCACCCTGAGAAGAAAACATGTGCATGTGTGTAGATGAAAGGGGGTAGCTAAAGAAACTAAAGAGTCAGAAGCCTGTATGAATCTAGATATTGTGGGAAATTAGATCTGGAGGAAGATAAGGCTTCCTGGGTCAGCCGCATGGGATATCCCAGTCCACACAAAACCTTTGGCTACGTGATGTAGCAGTGGAAAAGAGAAACAAACACAAGGCAATGTAAATGAATAGTCAACAACATTGCTCAAATACTGAAAAAACCATCAGAACAGGTGGATCCCCCCCCCCGTTGAAAATCACAAAAATATCTGAGCAATTTTAACTCAATCCTGCAAAAGATACAGCGCCAGTGTGTCTAATGACTGCTTTTTAGCCCTTGAAATGTTCCCCCTTCTGTCATTTCATTGTCACAGTGGGAATTGTTTAGCATATGTTCAACTTTTTCATTCTAATAAACTGCATAATAATAGAAAATGCAGAGTTAACGCAAGTACTGTACTGGATGTATAGGAGATGAAAACATTCACTCGATCACGCTAGGAGATAATAAGACAAGCTGACAGGCTGCAATTGACATTCAAATTCCTCTTTTACAAAAAAAAAGTTCTTTGTCTATGGGTTTATACAAATTAAAGCATCAAAGCAATTAAATACTTCAAATATTAATTCTAATCAATTTCAAGTCTCATAAGTTTTCTGTTTATTGCTGCGCTGAATGTATAATTGATCCATTGCTGCAATTTTAATGATATTGTTTCCAGTGCTCGGTAACAGGGGGTGGAGCAGGGGGGCTCAGACCTCTGCCTTTTAGTGTGGGTCTGCAAAGCTACTGTTTTTGGAAGGCTGGCTGGGGCTATGATTTCATTGAAATTAGGGATAATTGTGGGGAGGTGCTTTTTGATTCCATTGAGTACCAAAATTTTCTTGCATAATTTCAGCAGTGGTCACCCCCACCCCAACAGCTATGTTTATTTACTGCTTTTATATCCCACCTTTGCTTTAAAGAGTTCAGACTTGTGCACAATGTTCTCCCCCTCCTCATTGATTCCCCACCACTACCTTGTGAGGTAGGTTATGCTGAGATGGCCACGGTCATCTAGTGAGCTTCATAGATGGGGGGGAGGGTCTAGTCCATTCTAACCACTACTCTATGCTGTCTGTCTCTTGTGGGCTGCTGTCTTCTGTCTTATGCATAGGTAAAGGTAAAGAGACCCCTGACCATTAGGTCCAGTTGTGGCTGACTCTGGGGTTGCGGCGCTCATCTCGTTTTATTGGCCGAGGGAGCTGGTGTACAGCTTCCGGGTCATGTGGCCAGCATGACTAAGCCGCTTCTGGCGAACCAGAGCAGTGCACGGAAATGCCATTTACCTTCCTGCTGGAGTGGTACCTATTTATCTACTTGCACTTTGACGTGCTGTCGAACTGCTAGGTTGGCAGGAGCAGGGACTGAGCAATGGGAGCTCACCCCGTTGCGGGGATTCAAACCACCGACCTTCTGATCGGCAAGTCCTAGACTCTGTGGTTTAACCCGCAGCGCCACCCGCGTCCCATTATCTTATGCATACAGAGGCATAAAAAGTAATTTCCTAGTATAACCATTTCCCTGTTGCCTTTGTGAGCCTGTCAATTCTGAGCACATAGCAACTCATTCACACCGATGAGGTCCTTCTAGGCCCACCTTAGCACCTGCGCTTCACGAGAACTGGCACACAGACCTTTCCCAGCAGAAGCAAGAACAGAGATAACATGGAAGTGTGAGTACAGGGGTAAAGTATGTTTGAAGGTGAGGGCTGCTGGAAAACACCCTGGGGTGCCCTTGCAGCCCCCGAACTCCTAGCGTCCTCCGGAATGCGCAGCTCTGGAAAAGGCATTTCCCTTCTTCTCCAGTGCGCTTCAGCGACATATATCAAATGATGTATGCACACTAATCTTCTACCATAACACAGCAAGAAGTGTGAGACATCGTAGAGCTAATCTACGTATTTATTTCCACACTATGTACAGACAAAGGATTCATGGCGTCTTCTCTCTCAGTTTTGCAATCCCACCACATATGGGGGGAAAAAGTACCTTCTATTGTTTTACATTTCCAATACTAATTTTCTTTAGTTTTGTACAATTTTGCTAATTTAACAAGAGTTAGATACCATCTATACATCACTCTGAGGGACACAGGTGGCGCTTTGGGTTAAACCACAGAGCCTAGGACTTGCCGATCAGAAGGTCGGCGGTTCGAATCCCCACGACGGGGTGAGCTCCCGTAGCTCGGTCCCTGCTCCTGCCAACCTAGCAGTTTGAAAGCACGTCAAAGTGCAAGTAGATAATTAGGTACCGCTCCGGCGGGAAGGTAAACGGTGTTTCCGTGTGCAGCTTAGTCATGCTGGCCATATGACCCGGAAGCTGTACGCCGGCTCCCTCGGCCGATAAAGCGAGATGAGCACCACAACCCCAGAGTCGGCCACGACTGGACCTAATCATCAGGCGTCCCTTTACCTTTTTTTATAAATCACTCTGGGCCACCCAACCCAACCTGTAGTGATTTGTGGCTATCTGTACCCAACTCATTCAAGGCCCTTTGAATATGCCTAATTTGGTTTGGAAGCTGGGACGTAGCCAAATCTGCTGCATAGCCCTAGTTGCTTTATGAACTGGTGGAATCTATAACTAAATTCTTCTGAGGGGAAAATGTTTTCCAGGGAAGCCATAAAAGACAAAAAATTACAAAGCTATTTGAGTAGCTTCTCTAAGGTTTTATTCTGCTATTAATGTAGAGTAATGGCTTCTGAAATTACTCCAAAAGTACAGTTTCTTTTGAACTCATATTTTCTCAAGAAAGAAAGACAAGCCTAACACTCTGAATTAGTTAATGGCTTTGCAAATAGCACCCAAAGTGTCAGCAAGTCACAGATCCAAATGTACATTTTGCAAGAACAGAGTGGTTTAAGAATGTGATCTGTCAGTCTGAAACCCAAGCTCTGATTCAGAGTTAAAATTGACGGTGTTTTCATGAGCAACATATTCTTGGTTCTGGGCAACTCAGTTTCTAATAAAATCAAGATTAGGGCTCAGCTCAGATACTTGTTCTTTTAGAAAAATAGATGACAGCCCCGTCTTCATCATCAGCTTGCTTGTAATAGTTCATAGAATCATAGAGTTGGAAGAGACCACAAGGGCCATCGAGTCCAACCCCCTGCCAAGCAGGAAACACCATCAGAGCACTCCTGACATATGGTTGTCAAGCCTCTGCTTAAAGACCTCCAAAGAAGGAGACTCCACCACACTCCTTGGCAGCAAATTCCACTGTCGAACAGCTCTTACTGTCAGGAAGTTCTTCCTAATGTTGCTTCACATGGAATCCACCTTCATGACCCATGTGCAGGAAGGCTTAGTTTGGAGCATTCCATGAGATCACAACAGTTTAATCAATGGTTCGGGTCGGCTGCTTTCCCATTAGTGTAACTTGTTTTCAAAGCCATATTGCTTGTGTCTAAAAATGAAAGGCTTTTACAGTGGTAACCAGGTTACATACGCTTCAGGTTACAGACTCTGCTAACCCAGAAATAGTACCTCGGGTTAAGAACTTTGCATCAGGATGAGAACAGAAATCATGCTTCGCGGTGCGGCGGCAGCAGGAGGCCCCATTAACTAAAGTGGTGCTTCAGGTTAAGAACAGTTTTGGGTTAAGAACGGATCTCCGGAATGAATTAAGTACTTAACCTGAGGTACCACTGTATAGGGAATAAGGGACGCGGGTGGCGCTGTGGTTTAAACCACTGTGCCACTTGGGCTTGCCGATCGGAAGGTCGGCGGTTTGAATCCCCGCGACGGGGTGAGCTCCCGTTGCTCGGTCCCAGCTCCTGCCAACCTAGCAGTTCAAAAGCATGTCAAAGTGCAAGTAGATAAATAGGTACAGTTCTGACAGGAAGGTAAATGGCATTTCTGTGCGCTGCTCTGGGTTTGCCAGAAGCGGCTTAGTCAGGCTGGCCACATGACCCGGAAAAACTGTCTGCGGACAAACATTGGCTCCCTCAGCTAGTAAAGCAAGATGAGCGCCGCAACCCCAGAGTCGTTCGCGACTGGACTGTCAGGGGTCCTTTACTTTTACCTTTATAGGGAATAAAGAGCATTAGCTCATCCATTCAGGCCTGTTTCGTGCCAGAAGGGATGGAGACACTTATTCCCATGCCATGTCAGTTTTGCATGTTCCTTAATTGCTCTTTCCCTTTCCTTTGTTTCCTTAATGGCTCATCTCCCAGGCGATCATCTCACAAGGAAGCTGGTCTGACTTATATTTTAACCGTTGCATGATCCAGGGGTTCATGAGGCTCAAATAAATTCTAACGCATACCAGGTCCAGGAATTTAGAAATGTCTAGCACCCACAAACTCATAGCAGTTCTTTTTAAAAAAAATGACTAGAAAATTTATCCATCTATCTTAGATGGCACGAAGAAAGTGAAGAAGCCCCTTTAGTCACACATGGTCATGCCATCTTCTTGTTGGCTCCTGCTCCACCTGGTATTTAACATGTGCTGTGTACTAGTTTCACATGCTGTATGCATTTGAACAGGATTTAGGTTTAATGCATTTGGACGGATTTAGGTTTGATGAGGCCCTAAGCTCCTGAAGGTAATGGAGCCCTTTATATGTCCAGCTGTGCTTTGCCAACAGCAAATTGTCGCTGGTTTTTTGTGTTGAATATATGCTATATGGTAATAATAGGTATCTAAAGCCATTTGCACATGCAAAATGTAGGCACCCTATATACAGAAATGAGCAAACCAGTGATATTTTAGGGAGCAGGCTAGCAGGCGGGGCCCATTACTAACATCATAGGAGCCTACACAACACAAAACACTGTTGCTGTATGTAGGTTTTTTATTATTTGTTTTTTATCTTATATTTTGGAAACGTACGTCCAGGTTTTTTTCCCCTTTAATTTTTTTGGGGCCCCCCAAGAGAGTGGGGCCCTAAGCTATAGCTTGTTTAGCTTATACGTAAATCCAGCACTATATTTGAAGCATGAACAATTAAACGCAGGATTGGAAGCGACTTGCATTTTTTTTATCCATTTTGACAGAACTCGAGGTGGCCATTTGCAGATAGATGCCAAAAATCCATTTGCCCCACATAGACGAAAGTTGTTATGTCATGATTTGATAGTTCAGCAGGTTCACCAAATAATAATTCTACTGCATGTCAGCACATCTAACACAGCACATCACTTTCACATAGTAGCTTCAGTGGCCTCACTGAGATGTTATGCAGCTGCTTGTCATTTGCTGCGTGAAATGTTTCGACGGGGTAAATTAATAATGCTAGAGTGCCCATATACGAGCTTTGAGTCAAAATCTGTATTGTGTGACCTGATACAGTGAAGCGCCCTATTTTCCTATGGCTCACTCATGACTAGTGTAATCAATTATGTATATAGTATCATATACAGTGCTTTACAAAGTACAGGTCTGGCAGGTCCCTGCCCCAGAGAGTGTACATTCTGAAATAAATAGTAGTGGAAATGTAAACAACTATTTTAAGACATTAATGCTGTCAAAACTTGTTGTTTAGTCGTGTCCAACTCTTCGTGACCCCATGGACCAGAGCACGCCAGGCACTCCTGTCTTCCGCTGCCTCCCGCAGTTTGGTCAAACTCATGCTGGTAGCTTCGAGAACACTATCCAGCCATCTCGTCCTCTGTCGTCCCTTCTCCTTGTGTCCTCCATCTTTCCCAACATCAGGGTCTTTTCCAGGGAGTCTTCTCTTCTCATGAGGAGGCCAAAGTATTGGAGACTCAGCTTCAGGATCTGTCCTTCCAGTGAGCACTCAGGGCTGATTTGCTGTCAAAACCAGCACCCCTTAAATAAATATTATTCTCCCCCCCCAATCCCCTACATCTTCTTATCCCACCATCAAGGGGGACAAAATCTCCTCACATGTAGGACCTGCACTCAGCCCTTTATTGGGTCTTCATTATTTCTTCTACCAACACATTCATATTTGATTAGGTTTATGTGCTAAGAGAAATGGCATGAAAACAAAATCCCCGTATTTTAATGCAGAGGTTGGCATTTGCAGGGATTCATCTCTGTAGGAAAGAAAAGAGTAGCAAAATATAGTTCATACATGCATGTTAAAGATCTGGTGTGAAAGACATTACATGATTAACTTATTTTTGTGTGAATTGAGCCACTGTAGATCAACTTCCATGTATGTTCTTGACCCGGTAGAGGCAAAACACTTTCTTTCTTCTTCTTTAAAAAAATATTTTATTATATACAATGCACACACAACATTACAATTACAATCATTCAAATACCGAAAATACAAAAATGCAAACATAAATGTTACACCTACGTGACTTCCCTTCACCAGTGTTTGTCATTTCTTATGTTTATTATATTCTTATTTATATTGCAATTTGTAACTCTCATCTTTAATATTGTTATTTTGCTTTGTTTTCTGAATCAACTTTACAGACTTAATCTAGACATATCAGCATGTTGTCTTTAGAACAGTGTTTGCTCATATATTCTTCGAACCATTGAGGCAAAACTCTTTCTGAGGCAGTTAGTTTCACACATTCATTCTCTTGTCATTAGATGTAGAGAAATCAACTGATACATCAGCATGTGCCAACCTGGTTATGTCCTCCTTTTCCTGTTCTTTTCAGACATCCATAAATGCAAAGGGAAACCTGGAATTTTTTTGCATCTGACTCATCGTTACCTCAGTCAGTGTGTGGTGTAGTGGTTATGAATATCCAACTAGGAGCTGGGAGAGGGTTGCTGCAAGGATAAAATGGAGGGGGAGGAGAACCACACCAACTTCAGCTCCTTGAGAGAAAAGAGGGATATAAAGTTCAATTCAGTTAAACTTTTTATTGCACTAGCCATAGACCATGGCATCATTCAGAAGGAGAGCAAGAGGAAAGACAACAATAACTATAAAAATAATCAGGCACCACACCAATGATAACAACAACAACAACAATAATAAATTTATTATTTATACCCCACCCATCTGGCTGGGCTTCCCCAGCCACTCTGGGCAGCTTCCAACAAAATATTAAAATACAGTAATGCATCAAACATTAAAAGCTGCCTTCAGATGTCTTCTAAAAGTCTGGTACTTGTTGTTCTCTTTGACATCTGGTGGGAGGGTATTCCACAGGGCGGGTGCCACTACCAAGAAGGCCCTCTGCCTGGTTCCCTGAACCTCACTTCTTGCAGTGAGGGAACCGCCAGAAGGCCCTCGGCGCTGGACCTCAGTGTCTGGGTAGAATGATGGCGGTGGAGACGCTCCCTCAGGTATACTGGACCAAGGCCAATAAAACCACGGCCGTGGCTTCTAAAATAATTTGTTGCATTAAATAGAATAGAATAGCAGAAGGTTCTCAGGTAAGATGTGCCAAATTAAATATCCGAATCCCCTTTGCAGTTGACTGCTATTTTTTTCTAGTTCTTTCCTCCTGATCTTCTTGGCTGCTAGCGCATAGAGTGCTACTTTATAAGTAACCAAGTCGTCAGTGTTGCTGGGCAGCCGTTTCACCCTTTCCACCCTATTCAAATGTGTTTCATTTGTAAACAGGGGTTTTATAAATCAGTCTCTTGGGTCTATATATAACAGGCACTGCAATAAATAGTGGCACAAGTCCTCCACACAGGGTTGTCCACACAGGCAAAGTCTCTCTTCATAATGTACTTTGCCGTACCGTCCACCCAAGGGTATCGATTGGAATTTTAATTCTGTAAAAGCGATTCTTAGTACAGCAAGTGGGAGCTTTGTCAGGTATCTGGCTTGGGCATGCTCCGTTTTGACAAGTGGGAACCATGGTGAGCTCTTGGTAGAAGCATTCATGCTTAGATCCCTGGGTATAAAGTAATAAATGAATACCTATGCTGTTTGCGTCCCGAGCATTGCTCCTTCCTCCCAAATCTTTTGTGCTTCCACTATTAGTGAATATGCCTCAGGTGCCACTCCCACCATTTTATGTTTTACCTTGGCATCCCAATGGATCAACTGTCTCGGCAGAAGTTGTTTCCGTATTTCTGACTCACTGCTTCTGCCTTAGGAGAACCAAGCATGGCCACATAATGCTGAATGCACAGAGACCCAAAGGTCAGACCGTACTCCTATTTATTATGTAAGATGTGCCAAGCTCCTTCTGTATCATAATTAATCAAGTAATTTAATTAAGGTGTTTTAAAATATAATTATGTTGTGCATCGTTAAGGTCATACAATTGTGCGGAAACACCAGCACAGCTTTTTGAAATACAAATGACAAATTGTGTCTCTGCTAATAGCTCTGCATTTCTGGGGTGCTATTAACAATGGCTTTATTAAATATAATCCCGGAAAGTAAGTTGTATTTTAAAAGTTTTGTATACCTGTGAGAGATTGCCTGATATACCAAAGGGCTATGAAAGTTTTCACAGCAAATCCTGAAAGTTACTGAATCAAATTAGTTTTTTTAAAAAAAAAGGTCTCAAAACAGTAGGTGAAATCTCCACCTGGAACATATATCTTCAAGCTGCAAGCAGCAGCTCACGGGACGGAATGATCCTCATTAAATAATAATAAATATTTAAATAATAGAGATATTTCTCCCCACTCTGCTTCGTAATCGGTTCCCTCCAGAGAATGTTTTGGGGCTTCAGGAGGGAGAGAAATCCCTTGCTGCCTGTTTCTGCTACATTGAATCTCACCCATATTATCAACTTCTGCAGCCATCATACTCATGTTGTAGTCACCTTACCAAAATGAAATCCAGCTTAACTTTTGATGGATAACTAGAATGACTGCTATGAATCCTCATGCTTCTCCCATATATGTCTAATGCAAAACCTGCACCAGATGTAAATTGCCATTCTGCAGCTGTAGAATATTCAAAATGTGTACAAAATTGTCATGCAACTACGGATATTTTGGTAATGCACGTTTGAGTGGAACGAGAGGATGAGTCAAACATAAATTTTCAGCATCGTACTCCTTGCAGTCTACTTTGGCCATCTGTTTTCATGAAAACATGCCTTTAAACAAAACAAAACAAAACAAAAAAAGTTTTCAGGGTGAAAGGCTGAAATACAGCCAGACCTATAGCAGATTTCAAGCTGGCGCAAACAAAATATATTTGAAATATCTGCTCAGAAGTGCCCCCAGAGTTCAAATTTTCTCACCATTACTGCTATCTCCATAATATTTCTCAGGATGCAGTGAATGGAAGAAAAATTCATGACTATCAACAGTTGTTGAAAACAATGGGTTCATCCACTGCACGGAAACTGCCACTGCCCTGCCATCGATAGAGAATTTAAAGAATTTAATTTTCTGGTAGGCTGAAGCAGAAAACAGAGGAGGAACTAAAAAAGGCAACCTGAAATCCATCTTTTCTTTCATTTGAATCCATTACTATATACAGCGATGTGCTTCATGACACTGTTTCTTGTCCAACTTGAAGACTTCCTTCCCTGGGGTGTTCTGAATTTATAAGATTGCACATGTTAGCCAGTCCTATCTCATTTCTTCACCACTAAAACCTCTGATGCATTTATCAACCCTGGTTATTTCAGATTAAATTTAATGTATTAGCTCACTAAAGATCAGAAATTTTTCTTACTGACATTGAGTTCCTGTGCGCTTAATCCCGCCCACACAGTTCAGTTATGGCTTGCTCATTTTACAAAGCCAGTCTCTTGTTTGAACTATCTGTGTACGTGCCAATGACACATATTAAAAATGCATCTGGAGTCTTGAAAAGATAAAGCCACACTCTCTCAAAATGACAAAAAGCTGAGTTATACCACCACCTCATCACCGAAGGCTATTGCTCAGGCACATATAGCAACAAGAACACCATAAAAGAGGAGTCCTGTCTTTCTATACCAGTGGTTCATGGCAGAGAAAAAGATGCTAGAAATCAACAGCAGAACAGGACTGCTGCTAGAAAAGTTCCCTTGTACAGAACAACCATATAGTTCATCTGTTCAGGTGTGGGCTGCCTCACCCACAATCCACATCACTGGCTACTACTAGAAGAGGTAGGCAAATGCATGTCAGAAAGATGGACAGAAGGTGAATTAGACTTTACAAAACAATGTAATGAGCAGCTATTCCCATTCCATTTTGGTCTCACTAGCACACTGTCATTGGTCTCTCTCATCCTGTTCTGTCCCCTGCCATCCTTCCATGCACATTTTGTGTGTACCACTTTTTAGGTAAAATAGGGACTTTTTCGTGAAGCTGAGGCTCCACTACTTTGGCCACCTCATGAGAAGAGAAGACTCCCTGGAAAAGACCCTGATGTTGGAAAGATGGAAGGCACAAGGAGAAGGGGCCGACAGAGGACGAGATGGTGGGACAGTGTTCTCTCTTTTTTTAAAAAAATAAATGTTATTAACAAACCAATCAAATCACATTAATTCCAAATTACAAAACCGAATTTTAAATTTTTGTTGGGGGTACCCATGCTTCGAGCTCAGAAAGGGATCCAATCATCTTTATTGCTGCTGCTTTGATGTTCACAGTTCTGTTCGATTAGTATTCACAGTTCTGTCCATTCCTCTCTTTATTATTTTCCTCATCTCTTCTTGTTGTTATTGTATACTTTCCCTTTCTTTGTAACCTCTGATAGTCTCCACAAGCGAGTTGAAAACAAACGTTGTTATAGTCCCGTGTGTATTTTCGCATTAATCCAAAAATCATATTCACAAAGCAGACACCATTTCAGCACTTCCATAGAAAACAGTCTTAGTGTCTGCTCATTAATCTTCGCAGGCTTGTCACTCCTACCTCGATCTTTTCAGGGGGTTCTGCCAGGTCAGACACAGAGTCCAATATGATAACAAAGCCATGGCTTCTTCCCCCTCTTGATCGTCTATCCTGCAACGAAGCCTGCCTGTCATGGCGAATCTCTTTTTAAAACTGTGTCATTCCAAAAGCCTTCCATTCCTTTGCAGATCTTCCACAAACAAATCCTTTGGTTAATAATTCATTTCCACACAGTTCATAATCGTCCTGCTTATTATCAATTGTTGCAACGGTTCTTCTTGGGGGGGATTGTTAGGTAATCACATAGAGAAAAAAAGAAAAGTTTTCCCCCCCTTTCCGTCCCGTTCTGACGTCCCGACATCTTTGATGTTTCTTCTTCTTGATATATTTTCCTGTTGAATCCAGCCCGTTGTTCAGCTTCACAGAGGTCGCTTCAATTAGCAGTCTAAACTCCCTTTCTTCAATCGAAACATGTGCATTTGCTGCTCTCTAATTGTTGTTTTTTTTTTAGCTCCTGCAACCAGGTCGCGCGATCAGAGACTGTGTCCGGGAGAGCGAAAAAAACCAACACGAGTGCTGTGCACCTAGTGCCCTCACCCCCTCCTTCGTTCGAACTCGGGGGTGATTTATCGGCAACCGCAGGCGAAGGCAGTGTTTTCCCAATTCCCTGGGAAAACTTGGGAGGCTAATTACTCCCATATTAGCCTCTTAATAACCTCGTGTGAGCCGGAGAGATTGTATTGTTGGCCATCTTCCAATGCGCCCCTAGCGGCCCCCCTGGTGGGACAGTGTTCTCGAAGCTACCAGCATGAGTTTGACCAAACTGCTGGAGGCAGTGGAAGACAGGAGTGCCTGGCGTGCTCTGGTCCATGGGGTCACGAAGAGTTGGACACGACTAAACCACTAAACAACAACAAGGGACTTTTACGTAAAATGCACGCTTTTCAATGCATACATTTCAATGAATGTGCTTTTCAATGCAAATGTTTTCAATGTAAGTATTTTAGCTGGGGGGGAAACACATTATTAAAACTCAGATTTTTATGCACCATCAATCTGCTATGAAAAGCAGACCAAGCGAATGCTGTGTGGCTGCTCCCCCCCCCCCCCGGGGCAGCCTTATACCTTTTCTGATGTGTAATTCTGCCCTTGGAGTCACAATTGAAGAATATACAAGCCTTGGAAGCACATCTCCATACTTGGTTGGCAGTTATCCATAGAATCATACTGTAGAGTTGGAAGTGACCATAGGGACCATCGAGTTCAACCTTCTGCAATTCAGGAATCTTTTGCCCATGATGGGGCTCTAACCCACAACTCTGAGATTAAGAGTCTTGAGCTCTATCAACTCAGCACTATCATTATCCTACTAATGATCTCATGAGCTGCCCTTGAAGAGGATGAAGAATCACTGCTTGAACTAATATTTGGTAAGAACTGGTAAGTGTGTGTGTGTGTAATTAAATTTTCTGTTTTACAATTTAGAATATTCATTTAAACAACCTTAAATTATCAATGACTTCCCTTCTCTTTCCATGGTTCATTCTGCATGACATAAATCCCTGCGTATTTTACATAAACTAAACCATTCAGTATTTCATTATTAGATCCATCAAAACTTATTTACACTGTTGAATTTATCTTAATGCTGCCCACGTTTTCAAGTGTACACAATTCCCCCTCATATATTCAATAAACATTTTCCAATCTTCTTTAAAGGTATGTTCTTCTTGTTCTCTTCTTCTATATGTCAGTTCCACAAGCTGTGTATATTTCACCGGTTTAAGTCGCCATTCTTCTTCAGCTGGGACTTCACTCGATTTCCATTTTTGGGCTAAAAAAACCTGGGCTGCAGTAGTGGCATACATAAAGAGCCTTTTTTGACACTTGGGAATTTCCATCTGAATTATCCTCAATGAAAAGACTCTGGTGTTGTTGGTTTTTTGGGGGGGGGAGTACTTTTAAATTCCCCCCAATTCATTATGAATTATCTCCCAGTACTTTTTTACCCTTTTACAAGTCCACCACATACGATAGAATGTACTCTCAGCCTCATTGCATCAGAAATGGTATGAATTTTCGAAATGTAGTTTTATAATGCTGTTGGCACTGTCCTGCATTTATGGAAGATCCTCGTGGCTTTCAGAGTTTTCCATTCTCCCATCCCCATCCACCCCAACTTACAATCTGTGTCATTAGAATCACCAGTGTTTAAGAAAGCCAGACTGAAGACATAGGAAATTAATTCTTTGAAAGAAGCATACGGAATAAAAGTCAGGGAGTCGTGGGAAATAATGTCTGTACATCACTGAACTTGGGAAAAATCAAAAGAGACATCAGAAGTATTGAAAGTGCCTCATCATCTTCAAGCGCTCCCCCCTTTCAAGTGGGGAGGAGGCAGGCGCTCCTATGGGGCAGAGGGAAACAAAGCAACAGTAATATTGAAAATCAAAACAAGTTTCAAAGCAGCACAATATGTATAAGCATGACAAAAGGGGTATTTTTATTTAAGAAAAAAGGAAAATCAAGTCCTCTCCTAACTTTGGGAGCAAATGCATTCAACTCAAATACAGCCAACCGGTCCAGACGTATGTGTGTATGTATGTACACATGAAAAAAGCTAAATACAGTGGTACCTTGGGTTAAGTACTTAATTTATTCTGGAGGTCTGTTCTTAACCTGAAACTGTTCTTAACCTGAAGCACCACTTTAGCTAACGGGGCCTCCTGCTGCCACTGCGCCGCCAGAGCACGATTTCTGTTCTCATCCTGAAGCAAAGTTCTTAACCCGAGGTAATATTTCTGGGTTAGTGGAGTCTGTAACCTGAAGCGTATGTAACCTGAAGCATATGTAACCCGAGGTACCACTGTATATACTTCCAATAAATCTCCGCATGATTACATTAATTATTACAATTTAAAAGACACCATATATTAAAACATATATTAAAATCTCCTGTGGAGATCCTCTGTGGGCCGGGCCGCCACAGCGCAATGCCAGAAACCGCGTCTGCGCATGTCCACAGCACCAGAAATCACTTCTGCGCATGCCCAGATGCCAGAAATCGCACCTGCGCAGAAGCAATTTTTGGTGTCTGGGCATGCACAGAAGCGATTTCCGGCACCAGTGCTGCGCTGCTCTGGTTTAGCGCAGCGTGCGGGGACTGCCAAGCAGGCAGCTTGGTTCGGGGACGGCTCAAGGGCCAGTTAAGCGACCCTCATGGGCTGCTTCCAGCCCGTGGGCCTTAGGCTGCCGACTTCTGTATTAAAACATCAAGATAAAATTTCATTTTCCCTGTTATAAATGACATTTCTTGCATTGCTTTCTTTTGTTTACTCAATATTTCTTCTCCCCCTATAGGACTGGACAAATGATAAATCTGCCCAGGTTCATAATGCCTTGCCTAAATGTTTTTATGCATCCACAGAACGATCAAAGTATCTAAGATGTGTCATTCTATAACAGTTTTGTTAATTTATGTTTGTTTAGTTGTATGTGTCTACAGACAAAGCAACGTCCCTAAGACAGGTGATTCTATGACTACATTAGTTCTGTTAATAAATGCGTGTTCAATTTATTGTATGATTTGTTTTTTTATAGAAAAGGGCTTGCCATTTATTGGAATTTGCTCATTATTCCATTATTCCTTTTCCGTTCTTGTCTGATCTACTATGCATCATTGTGCAACCATATCATGTTCTCCAACTATTACCTGATTAAATTAGCGATGTTTGTAATTATATTCATAGTACTAATTTGCATGCTAGTTTAGATCCTGGCATTGTTACAGACAACCCCACCCCCCGCCAAAAGGATACAAAGACATAGTTTGATTGTACATAGTTTCTGACTGAAAAATCTCACTAAATTATATATTTCCCCACCACCACTTTGGAAAAGAGCACGTGGTCTTGCATTCTTTAAATATATTATGTTAGTGTATGTCTCTCTGTGTGTACGTGCGCGCACACAAATGTATATATGCTTACAAAATTCATGCCCCAGTAACCTTTAACTGAAACACTATAGAAGCTGTCCCTCCTTCAGATTGACTAGATGAGGATTGGATGTTATACGATTATATCATAAAGGTAAAGGTAAAGGGACCCCTGCCTGACCATTAGGTCCAGTTGTGACCGACTCTGGGGTTGCAGCGCTCATCTCGCTTTATTGGCCGAGGGAGCCGGTGTACAGCTTCCAGGTCAGGTGGCCAGCATGACTAAGCCGCTTCTGGCAAACCAGAGCAGCGCACGGAAACGCCATTTACCTTCCCGCAGGAGCGGTACCTATTTATCTACTTGCACTTTGAGGTGCTTTCAAACTGCTAGGTTGGCAGGAGCAGGGACCGAGCAACAGGAGCTCACCCCGTCGTGGGGATTCAAACCGCCAACCTTCTGACCGGCAAGTCCTAGGCTCTGTGGTTTAACCCACAGCGCCACCCACGTCCATGATTATATCATATTACTGCTAAATAAGCTGTAGTTTCTGGCTGGTTCCTGGGCTCAGTGCAAAATACTGCTTTTGACTTTTAGAGTAAGGGTGTGCACTGACCACAGGATTCAGTTTTCACCCCCGCTTTGGAAAATAGGCACAATTTGGTCACAGTTTTGCATCACAAAATTCAGAGAGGCTTTAACTGAAAGGAGCACTTTGTTTTGTTTTGTGAATCGTTTTGCGAAACGCAAATCAAGTACGTTCAGCAGGTTCACTCAAAGCAGTCTTGCCCATCCCAACTTCCAGCTAAGGGAAGAATTGCCATCTTGATACACAAGTAAAGCCTTCTGGGTCAGATCAATGGTCCATCTAATTCACCATGACTTTCTCACAATGGCCAAAGAATCGTTTGTGGGAATATTGTGTAGGTGTCTTAGACAACAGTTAAAGGGATGCTAAGTAAATAAAAGCGTGTCTCTTTTCATCTGTGAAATACAGGAGGGTGTGGAATAGTTAAGGATTTCAGAAGCTGCACTTTTTAAAAGATTTCCCCAAAACACCAAAAACTTTGTTGTTGTGAAATACGCATAGCAAGCTGTGGCTGTGAACCCTTCCTGAAGTCAAGACATCTCTATTAGGTTACGTTGGATCCCTTGTCCTTTAAATGAAAAACAACAGCAGTATTTCCTTTAATCTTTCCCCATACTTTTCAAGATTCCTCATGAGACCCTCTATCATCTTGTTTGCTTTAAATTGCTGCTTTATCAAAGCTTTATTTTTCTTCCTTTTTAAAACAAAAAATAAAAATAATAGCAGAGTGCTTTTATCTTCACCTACAAGATTTCAAAGACTAGTAATAGGAATGGGAAGAGAGAGGGGAAGACTTCAGGACTGTGAAGCAGAATATAATTGCGAGTCATGTTTGGCACGGAGAATGACTGCATAAGAATAAATGGAGATGAAGAGGCACTATTGATTCCCCGGCTCCCTCTCATAGCTCACACAGTTGATCTAATGTCTAAGCAAAGGCCTCTAAGGGAGACCCTGATTGCCCTCCTGCCTTTCTGAGAGAAATCATACAAAGGGGTCAGAGAAGGGCTGGCCCAAGACACGTTGTTGCTTGAAGCAAAGGACAAGATGGCACCCTCTCTGTTATATACTAAGCCTGGATCCTAGAACAATAGGCAAGTAGGATCCTAGAATGCAACAACTGATTGGCTTGCAGGAAGAGACCAATCAGGCTCCAAGAGGAAGTTAATCAGCCTATTAGGCTGGTAGGATTGTAGAATGTAACAATGATTGGCCTGCAGGAAAAGACCAATCAGGCTCCAGGAGGGAAGCAGAATCAGCCAATCAGACGGGACTCATTGTGTAAATAATGTATATAAAAGCCTGAGGTTTGGGGAGCCATTGAATCACTGTTTTACAAGCTGCAATAAAGAGCATGAAATCACTACAGGACTGTGAGTATATCCCACTCTCCAAATCTATGTACAGCGGCTGCCCAGGTTGGCAGTTGAATCTTAATTTAATGCTGGTTACAGGTAGGTGTGTAGGAAGCACATGCAGGGACCCACTATCGGCCTGCTTATCAAGTGAAAGTTCAGTTATCCAAACAAAGAATTATGCCCAAACCTCCCTATCAAGGGACGCGGGTGGCGCTGTGGTCTAAACCACTGAGCCTCTTGGGCTTGCTGATGGGAAGGTTGGTAGTTCGAATCCCCATGATGGGGTGAACTCCCATTGCTCTGTCCCAGCTCCTGCCAACCTAGCAGTTTGAAAGCACACCAGTGCAAGCAGATAAATAGGTACCACTGCGGCGATAAGGTAAATGGCGTTTCCGTGCGCTCTGATTTCCATCACGGTGTTCTGTTGCACCAGAAGCGTTTTAATCATGCTGGCCACATGACCCGGAAAGCTGTTTGTGGACAAACGCCGGCTCCCTCAGTCTGAAAGTGAGATGAGCGCCACAACCCCATAGTCACCTTTGACTGGACTTAACCATCCAGGGGTCCTACACCTTTTTTTAAAAAAACAACAACAACAACCCTTTTATACAGACCACAGATACAGATATTCAAACAGTCAAAGTTTGCCCATTTGTGGTTTCCAGTTCCAGCATCCCCTTGGTGACCTTAAGGCATCCAACTCTAGAACTACAATGTTCTGCTGGTGGTCCAAACTATTGGGATAATTTGATGGGCCATGTGAATCCATCTCTGTTCTTTCTTTGCCTAGGAGACAAAATTAAAAACCTTTTTTGGGCAGTCCCAGACATACATTTTTAAAGAATTTAAAGAATGCTTTCCTAAACATTCTCTAAACAAATGTTATTTTGCTATTGCTATGCTTTCATTGTTCCCGCTGTTTTAATTTACACGTTTGACATACTGATTTTATTGTTTTAATTGTTTGTTATTGCTCTGTGAGCCACCCTGGGAGTAGAAATACGGAATGGTGGCATATCCACTCCTCAGATAAAATAAACAAGGTACCTGATATTCTCACTCTCTTGAAGCTAATGAGGCTATTTAGAGATCAAAATCCCAATTATCAAACACTGAGCTCAAAGGAGGAAAGGAGTTATACAAAGAAATATTTTGCTGTAAGATCTGCATAACCTCTGCAATATACTAAGAAATCTGAGAAGGGAAATGTCTGGTTTTTGTCATGGAATTCTACTCAGTATTGATCCAGAGCAGATTCTAGCGTGTAGTTAGCAGCAGTGCTTTTTTCCTAAATAAATAAATAAATGTTTAGGGATACTCTCATTTTGACTCAAGAAAATCACCATTTTATAGTTCATATCAGGAAGAATAAATACAGTAAATGGAGAAAAGTACAAAGATTCAGAAAATGTTTAGGTGCATGCTTACCCCTGCTTCCCCCAGAAAAAAAGCACTGGTTAGCAGAGTAAAAACTTAAAAACATTGCAGGATTCCCAAAAAATAGACCAGAGGCAATTATATTTCATCCAGCAGAGCTTTACTGCTACTGAAGGCAAATGAGAATAATGGTCACAAATCCAATACATTCAGAATTGACACTGTCCATAAGAAATCCAGTTGCGGCAGACTTAACTTTAATTTACAATAACTTATAATAAGTCTAAAGCTTAACACTATACAGTTGTACCTTGGTTCACAACCATAATCCGTTCCGGAGGTCCATTTGTAAACCAAAACAGGTTGTAAACCAAGGCGCGCTTTCATCAATGAGGCCTCCAAAAAAAAAAAAAAATGTTTGTAATCCAAAAAAAAGGTTGCAAACTGGGACACGCACTTCCGGGTTTGACGTGTTTGTAATCCAAAACATATGCAAACCAAGATACCACTGTATACAGAACACCACACCAGAAGGAAAGAGAGATAGAAAGAGAACGTGAAATCCAGGCTCCTTCTGGCCTCTTATTTTACTAGTCAGTGTTGGTTTACAAGCCCCCTCCGGAGAGGCTGGCCCCTCTCACTGCTCTCGGAGCTCGTTTACCAGTAACCTCCTCTGGCTGACTTCCCGGACAGATCAGGGAGATTTTGATAGGCGACATTTTCCCAGCGTGGGTAAATGCACACCGCCCAGTCAGTCTGACATCAATACCAGGGAAGATTCTGGAGCAGATCATTAAGCAAACAGTCTGTGAGCACCTAGAAAGGAATGCTGTGATCACCAATAGTCAGCATGGATTTCTGAAAAATAAGTCCGGTCAGACTAACCTGATCTCGTTTTTTGACAGAATTACAAGCCTGGTAGATGAAGGGAACGCAGTGGATGTAGCCTACCTTGATTTCAGCAAGGCATTTGACAAGGTGCCCCATGATATTCTTGTAAAGAAGCTGGTAAAATGCGGTCTTGACTATGCTACCACTCAGTGGATTTGTAACTGGCTGACTGACTGAACCCAAAGGGTGCTCATCAATGGTTCCTCTTCATCCTGGAGAAGAGTGACTAGTGGGGTGCCACAGGGTTCTGTCTTGGGCCCGGTCTTATTCAACATCTTTATCAACGACTTGGATGATGGACTCAAGGGCATCCTGATCAAATTTGCAGATGACACCAAACTGGGAGGGGTGCCTAACACCCCAGAGGACAGGATCACACTTCAAAACGACCTTGACAGATTAGAGAACTGGGCCAAAACAAACAAGATGAATTTTAACAGGGAGAAATGTAAAGTATTGCACTTGGGCAAAAAAAATGAGAGGCACAAATACAAGAGGGGGGACACCTGGCTTGAGAGCAGTACATGTGAAAAGGATCTCGGAGTCTTGGTTGACCACAAACTTGACATGAGCCAACAGTGTGACGCGGCAGCTAAAAAAGCCAATGCAATTCTGGGCTGCATCAATAGTAGTATAGCATCTAGATCAAGGGAAGTAATAGTGCCACTGTATTCTGCTCTGGTCAGACCTCACCTGGAGTACTGTGTCCAGTTCTGGGCACCACAGTTCAAGAAGGACACTGACAAACTGGAACGTGTCCAGAGGAGGGCAACCAAAATGGTCAAAGGCCTGGAAACGATGCCTTATGAGGAATGGCTAAGGGAGCTGGGCATGTTTAGCCTGGAGAAGAGGAGGTTAAGGGGTGATATGATAGCCATGTTCAAATATATAAAAGGATGTCACATAGAGGAGGGAGAAAGGTTGTTTTCTGCTGCTCCAGAGAAGCGGACATGGAGCAATGGATCCAAACTACAAGAAAGAAGATTCCACCTAAACATTAGGAAGCACTTCCTGACAGTAAGAGCTGTTCGACAGTGGAATTTGCTGCCAAGGAGTGTGGTGGAGTCTCCTTCTTTGGAGGTCTTTAAGCAGAGGCTTGACAACCATATGTCAGGAGTGCTCTGATGGTGTTTCCTGCTTGGCAGGGGGTTGGACTCGATGGCCCTTGTGGTCTCTTCCAACTCTATGATTCTATGATTCTATGATTCTATGATTCCTCCTGCTTCCCTAGCAGGGAAAGAAGAGTAGTCAGAAATCTATTTACATGATGTTTACTTCTGACATTACAGCACTACAGAAATCATGTCCGACCACTTCAAACTTCATCTAGCAAGACTGACAAACTTCCTGTACATACGCAAACGGAAGGTCTCAAATTACACTCTTCACAGAGCTCTGAGAAGCCTGTGAACTTCCGGGAATCTTCTTTCCCACAGCTAGCCGCATCTTGTGATGTCAACAAGCTGGCTGTCTGCAGCTGCGATGTTCTCATATACTGACAGTCAGCATGACCCTGACAGATGAGATAACTGAACCAGTTTAAGCCAGCTGATTAAGTTGACTGATTTGATAAGACAAAAACCAAAAAATATAATCCAGAAACAATGGAAATATTTAAATGATTATTTATGTAGACAAAGATTAAATGTAAAGTATTGGTTGTGTTTAGAATAGATTACTGAAAGATCTAAAAAACTTCTTGATTAGAATATTTGTATGAGATTGTATGGGAAAATACGGAATAACAGATACAATCTTGCTTGAAATGTATATAGGAAGTGCTTTGTAAGTGATGGAAGTCAATCAATGAAATTTTGTTAATATTTTCATATTGAGATATTTGTAGAAGAAATTTGGAAGAAATTTTTCCAACTTTTCTTCTCCTTTTTCCTTTTTTCCTTTTCTCCTTTTTTCTCTTTTGTTCTTTTTTATATATGTGCGCTTATCTGAAATATGTATGTATGTATGTATGTATATATATATGTATGTATTTTCAATATTTTGCTTATATTTTGTAATAATTATGTTAAATAAATTATTTTTAAAAATGCAAACTGACAGTTCTCCCTCGTTGTGTAACAAAAGGTTCAAATGCTATCTGAAATGATGAACAATTTCAATCTCCTAAATGTTGACTCTCCAGGTTAAAGTGTGCCCCAGCAGTGGCGGACTTGGGTACTATAGGGCCCTGTGCCATCTCAAAATCCCCACTCCCCTAACCACTGCCTCCAGCCCTACCACTGCCTCCTTCCCAAAGGTGGGAAATCACTATTTTATATATAAACAAATATTATATTGACAGAATTTCAATTATAAACTAACATGGAAGACAGAAAATAAAGGCATTTGGAATTTCATTTAAAAAATGAAAACAGGGATTTTCCTTCCCTCTGCTCACTTATCCAAATGCTGTGAGAAAGGCAAAGGGGAAACATCAACAATGCACTATCAAATTAATCAAAACGGTCCATTATAGCTCAGATTGGTCAATTCAATAATATTCAGTATCTAATTTTTGTTTGTCTTGAACAAAATTTGCTGGAAGCCATTCCTTAATTTGTTTAGCTGGTTGCTGGGTTCTGAGTCTTTTGTTTTGCTTGACATATATCAGATTTCTCCCTCAGCCTATGCACATTTCTTTTTCCTTGTTCCAGAACGTGGCATGCCATCCGTATTGCTTGACAGCTAGCTTCTCCCCCTGGAGAATTCAGGGCTGAAATGTATGAAAAGACCTGACACCTCAAATTCAGTCAAAACCAGATTAAGTTGCAAGACCATTTGTGTCCGCAGTGTGCAGGGAGGAGAAGAGCAGCAATTAAACCAAGACAGTAAATGGCTTTTGAAAGTGCCACAGCTTTTAATGGCTCAAGGCAGCTTACACGGAGCTTGGTGGGGTGTACAGCAAGGATCCTGACCGCCCAATTGCAGGCGTGGAGGCAAGGCAGTTGAAATCAGTCAGACCACTGTTTCTACATCAATTTGCTGTTTGCAAGAGATCCTTGGGAACCCTTCCTTCCTTCCTTCCTTCCTTCCTTCCTTCCTTCCTTCCTTCCTTCCTTCCTTCCTTCCTTCTAATCCAACCCCCTGCAATGCAGGAATCTCAACTAAAGCATCCAGATTTAACCTCTACTTAAAAACCTCCAAGGAAGGACAGTCCACAGCCTCCCAAAGGAGCATGTTCCACTGTTGAACAGCTCTTACTATCAGAAAGTTTTTCCGTATGCTTAGTCGGAATCTCCTTTCTTGTAACTTGAAGCCATTGGTTTGAGTCCTACCCTCCAGAGCAGGAGAAAACAAGCTTGCTCCCTCCTCCATGTGACAGCCCTTGAGATATTTGAAGATGGCTATCATATCTCCTCTCAGTCTCCTCTTTTCCAGGCTAAACATACCCAGCTCCTTCAACCATTCCTCATAAGGCTTGGCTTCTGGACCTTTGATCATCTTAGTTGCCCTGCTCTGCACATTCCAGCTTGTCAACATCCTTCCTAACCCAGAATTGGGCACAGTACTCTAGGTGTGAGGGATGCAGGTGGCGCTGTGGGTTAAAACACAGAGCCTAGGGCTTGCCGATCAGAAGGTTGGCAGTTCGAATCCCCACGATGGGGTGAGCTCCCATTGCTCGGTCCCTGCTCCTGCCAACCTAGCGGTTCGAAAGCACGCCAAAGTGAAAGTAGATAAATAGGTACCACTCCGGCGGGAAGGTAAACGGTGTTTCCGTGTGCTGCTCTGGTTCACCAGAAATGGCTTAGTCATGCTGGCCACATGACCTGGAAGCTGTACGCCAGCTCCCTCGGCCAATAAAGCGAGATGAGCACCGCAACCCCAGAGTCGTCCGCGACTGGACCTAATGGTCAGGGGTCCCTTTACCTTTACTCTAGGTGTGATCTGACCAAGGCAGAATAGATTGGTACTATTCCTTCCCTTGATCTCGACACTATACTTCTTTTTGCACCTTTCCTCCAAGGATCCCAAGGTTCTCTTCCCCATTTTATCACCACAACAACCCTGTGAAGTAGGTTAGGCTGAGAGTGAGTGAACTGGCTCAAGATCACTCATCGAGGTTAATGGCCGTATGGAGATTTGGACCTGAGTCTCCCTCTAACCCAGGCTTCCTCAACCTCGGCTCTCCAGATTTATTTGGCCTATAACTCCCATGAGCCCTAGCTAGCAGGACCAGTGGTCAGGGATGATGGGAACTGTAGTCTCAAAACATCTGAAGGGCCGAGGTTTAGGAAGCCTAACCACTGTATCACACTGGCTCCTTCCATTAGAATTGCTAATAAAACGTCCTCATACTCAGAGAGTTCCTGCGTTTTGTGACTTTTCCCTTCTGCAAGCAAACTCAAAAGGAAGTCCCGCTGTGATCAAGGGAAGTCAATATTAAGAGCATAAGGACTCTTTTACCAGCTTACATGTTACATGTCAGGCTACTGATAAGCTCAGAGGAGAGCAGCTGCTAAAGAAAATTCAGCAGTCCTGCTGCCACCTTGTAGCCTAGAAGGATACCTTAGGTTGCAGATTCTAGGTGATAAGTAGGATATCCACCTCTTCTCTTAATAGGTCTCCTGTGCTTTTAAGAGCTTCAGGTGAGGCAGTGGAAATCCCACAAAGTTTGAGGGAAGCTTCGCCTATTAGATTTGTATCTTGTGCAGCCCTTAGAGCTGTAAAAAGCTTGTGAGAAAACCAAGCAACTTCCCTATGTGCACGACAGAACGCTTCTTGGATCCCTAACAGCAGAGTGGTTATAATAGCATTTCATTAAGAAGCTGTAAATAGAGACATTTGCTAGCACCACTCAGGGAGCTGTGAAGAGAGTAGATTAGTATGAGTTTCCTTCTCAGCAAGGACGGACCTGTGCCCAAAGTAGCTCACAACATATAAGAAACACATGCCTTCAAGCAGTAAAATAATGCATATCAGAAACACAGTGCCAATGCTCAATAAGCAATAGCGAAATAGGTCCATAAAGCCTGAGGTTGAGATGTTTTGAAACTGTAAGACAGTCTTCAACAACCTGGTGCCCTTCCGTTGCTTCAAACTACAACTTCCAGCAGCTCCAGCCAGAATGATTAAACTGGTGGGAGTCATAGACTTAGCACAGCTGGAGGGCACCAGGTTGGGAGAAAATAACCACTCTAAGGGCTCACTCTCTGAAGACAAGCCAGGAATGAGCCAGTCAATCAAGTGAGACAGGAAGGGAGAGGCCGTCTGAAAGTTCGTTATTGTTGTGAGATTGTGGGAGGTAGGCTGTATTGCCTGGCTCCCTTTTAATTCCTGGATCCAACATAATTTTAATTCCTGGAATATCCAGACTAGCTTGTTGGTGAGGTAATGGCCCTATAAGTGGGGACCATACAAGTAACAAAGGAAGTGGCTCTGTGCCAGATGACAAATGGTTGGGGTTTCCTCCTTTAACTTGCTGGCAGTTAGAAAGACAAAGGCTAGCGTTGGGAATTGAGTTGTATGAGCTAGAAGCTAGATGCAGTCTAGGCGATGTGATTTACATATCACTTGGGAAGACAGGTAAACTAATATCAGTGTACTGGAAGAAGCAAAGATCACCAGTGTTGAAGCAATGATTCTTCAATATCAACTTCATTGGGTTGGTCATGTTGTGCGGATGCCTGATCATTGTCTTCCAAAGCAACTACTCTATTCTGAACTTAAAAATGGAAAGCATAATGCTGGTGGTCAACAAAAGAGGTTTAAAGACTGTCTGAAGGCAAATCTTAAAAAAAATGTAGCATAAAAACTGGGAAACACTGGCCTGCGAGCGTTCCAGTTGGAGAACAGCCTTTCCCAAAGGTGTCATGGGCTTTGAAGACACTCGAACTCAGGACGCAAGGGAGAAACATGCTAACAGGAAGGCACGCCTGGCAAATCTACACCGTGATCAACTCCCCCACTGTGGAAGGATGTGTGGATCCAGAATTGGCCTCCACATTCACTTACGGACTCATTGTTAAAACCGTGTTTGTGGAAGACAATCTTACTCGGCTACAAGTGATCGGCAAAGAAGAAGAAGAAGAAAGCAGTCTGGGCAGCTAAGGGACAGAGCCATGCCTGATTTTTGCTGGAATACAAGGCTACGGAAGAAACAAGACCCTGTGGGGATGTTACTGCTGTGAGCCCTCCATGGTAGGCTCAGGTTGTATAAATATATAAACAAACCATATCACATAAAGACACCTCATTCTGAGGAAACCAAACCGTGGGCAAACCCCTGGAACCCCTGGAATCTTGCACTGCTCAGAGGTTGGGCAAGGCGGAAGGACCAGTAACTGCTGGAGGGAAAATAAGGTTGCTGCAAATTAAGCACATGTCTAGCTTGGCCCCAAAACATTTTGGCTGCGCTGCTAACGTCCCTCGTTTGAGGCCTCTGACACTTTGCAGAGATCAGCTATTCAAACTGTGTTTCCTGTTTGATGTTTCCCTGCTCTCTGACCCTTCATGGCTGTGTCTCCACCTGTTGTGAACATACCTTGAAAATGCGAGGAATTCCAAGTACACAGAAGGAGCAAGGGCAGGTGGCAGTAAGACTATGTCTACGGCGTCCTTGGCAATAAATTCATTGTTGTGTCTGTGATGCTTGGATGAGGCCATCAGAAAGGATCGAGGAAAACATCTTTCTTCTGTTACAAGGAACGGGAGCAATATTGTATTTCAGCTCCGGCTTTAATTTTGAGCTCTTGCCTCCAGCAAGAATAAAACAAGCACACCTTTTACAAAGACAACCGACTTCCTGCAGATTTAATGTTATTCTCCATCTGTTGGCTCTTCTCGGTGGCATAAGCTACAGGAGCCCTCCCACACGTAGAGCTTTCATTGGGCCAAAACACGACACAATGTCCGCCGTTATTACTTTTCAAAGTTGTGCTTGTTACAGATCTGGCAGCGGGTCCTGAGGAGTTTTCATGTACTCGCACTGAAGAAATCCTATCGCCCAGCAAACTAGCCTTGCGAACAATTAGCTGAGTCAAATATGTACAAAGAGCTTATGCCACAATAATGGTAATAACTTTATTACGAGCAACTAAATAGGTTCTAAAAACAATATTGCCTTGCTGTGGCTTTTAGATTTGTTCCCCTAATGGGCCAACCTAATTATCTATGACTTTAATGGGCTTATGAAGGATTAATGGAATGAATAAATTGGCATCCGCATATATAAACCACAAATTATTATTTATTAAGTTTATGCAGCCTGTCCGCATAGGCATACGCCGGACTCCATCAGACTCAACATTGTGCAAATTTGATTGCATCAAAGCAATGCAAAACGACAATCAACATAAAGAACTTATGGTGGCAACTGCCATAAAAATAGATGGGCATCTCCTCCATCTGTTGCTTGAAGATGATGATGTCTGATCCATGCAGAAGGGATGGGAAGCGGAAGGATGAGTTAGCTGTGCATGGCTCTCCATTTAAAATGCTAGCCAGGCGGATGTCGCTCATGTTAATTCCTGTTCAAAGCCCCTGCTGGCTCTAGGGCTTGGAAATAAATGCACATTAAAAGCCCCCACCTGCTATAATAATAATAATTCTCATCATCTCCCCCATTCACTTCCCTGAGCAGTTTGTCATGACACATGGGAGCAGGGTGCCTCTCAGCAAATGGGAAATACAGGTCATTTCAACTATCTTAACAAAAAAGACTAAAAAGCTTCACCCTCCCTTTTTTTCAAAAAACAACAGCAGTACATCATGGGGTACATTGACAGTGATGGTTAATGACCATATCCTTATAAAGTCTTTCTTCTCCACCTTATCAGGTTGCACTATTCATCCATTGAATAAAACCATACCAGACAACACCCCCAAAATCATTCCCATAGTCCTGTCATTTCAATGGTCAAACTTGCTTGGTTAGCTTATTTGCTACTGCATTATTCCAGACGCAATTATACTACTCTGATTATCGGAGGGGCCTGTGCATGCTCCAGGCCAAGGGTGCCTTCCGGATTGGCCAAGATGGTGGGGCTGATGGAAGTGGCGGTCCACAACACCTGGAGGGGGCCAAATTGGCCACCACCCTTGCTCTAGGCTCTAACAAAATGATTCGGTCATTGTCATTCTGCAGATAATTCCTAATTATTTCTGATCCCACAGAGTTTGTCATGGATGTGGATTGTAATTAACATACAAAAGAATAATATGTTGTTGTTGTTGTTTAGTCATTTAGTTGTGTCCGACTCTTCGTGACCCATGGACCAGAGCACGCCAGGCACTCCTGTCTTCCACTGCCTCCCGCAGTTTGGTCAAAAAAGAATAATATGTTCACCACAAATCAGAACCAGTAGGTTCCATATTTCTCTAGAGAGGATTTGATCCTACACCCAGTGGAGCAATGGATTTTGGCCCAGCGGTATCAATATTCTCCTTTCCCTTCCACAGCACGGATTACTTTGGCCATTCTGGAAGAGGCTGGATTCACATCCAACTACCAGTGGAAGACCTTGCCCTCTCAAATTCCAGTGGTGCCCTGTGCGACGCTTAAATTTGGCACCCCCGCCTCTTACGCTCTGTTCTACAGCATTGCTGTGGTGCCCCCTGCAGCATGGCACCCTAAAAGCACCTCTGCCACTGCTGATAGTTCAATTGATTAGAGTGTGGTGTTGATAATGCCAAGGTTGCAGATTCGATCCCCGCATGAGACAGCTGCAGATTCCTGCATTGCAGGGGGTTGAAACAGATGATCCTCAGGGTCCCTTCCAACTGTATAATGTTGCAAATTAACAGGCTGAAAGGAAAACCCATGCACGTTGAGGAGAAGAAAAGGGTTTATTGTCTTTATTGGCCAGTAAAGTTGACTCAGAGGAACCAGTTCCAAATTCTGAGGCGGAGTTTACAGAGCGGGCGCTCTCTGCTATACAATTCTTAAGGCATGAATAGGCATAAGCTTCTGCCCAATAGTAGAATTACACTTTCTACTAATGAGATCCTTATATGGGCAACTCTATTTGCATATGCATTAGAGGAAGAACAAAGACTCTTTCTAAGTATCACCTTGCAGCACATGAAGAGGAGTGGGCCTCTTCTTCTTACTGTTATGTGGTAAATCGTGTCCTCGAAATCATGGAGAGCCATGTGTTGTGGTGAGATCACCAAACTGCCTTTTTGTTGCTGGGGCGGGCCTGTTTGGATGACCTCCTTGCCTCATTGGTTGCCCCTTTGTTGCTGGGGCAAATTTCTGTTGGTTGGGGTTTGATTGGCACATGAGGGGCTATTTAAGGGGCTGCATGTGGCGAAGTATTTTCTCTTTCACATCATGCAGCAGATCTCCCTCCCTATAATTGTAGGTTGTGTTTTTGACCTTGCTATGCCTGTCTAGGGGTCATCTGTTTTTGGAGCAGGGGCCCAGTAGGCTGATTGGCTGGTGCCATTTGGTTTTTGCCTACCGTGTATCAAATCGTCACAACTTTGTAAGGTTGGCGGTTAGGCATTGGTTCATTCTTTCGTCTAGGGGATTATGGATTGGCTGTGCCTGCCCCTCATTTTTGTTGCTGCTGCTAGGGAATTCCATTAAAGGAATCCAGGGGCTCAATTTGCTCTGTCTGATCCCCTCTCAGGGGTAGAGCTATGCCAGAGTTCCTGGGAGCATCTGGGGTGAACTAAGGGGCTAATCTGGAGCATCTGGGGTGAACTAATGGTGTTGGAGGAGACTCTTGAGAGTCCCATGGACTGCAAGAAGATCAGACCTCTCCATTCTTAAGGAAATCAGCGCTGAGTGCTCACTGGAAGGGCAGATTGTGAAGCTGAGGCTCCAATACTTTGGCCACCTCATGAGAAGAGAAGACTCCCTGGAAAAGACCCTGATGTTGGGAAAGATGGAGGGCACAAGGAGAAGGGGACGACAGAGGACGAGATGGTTGGACAGTGTTCTCAAAGCTACCAGCATGAGTTTGACCAAACTGCGGGAGGCAGTGGAAAACAGGAGTGCCTGGCGTGCTCTGGTCCATGGGGTCACGAAGAGTTGGACACGACTAAACGACTAAACAACAACAACAAGAGGCGGAAATGCACCTCTGTGCTCCCCCAGTATGTTACTGACCTCTGGTGGTTCCAGTTGTCAGTCCTGTTCCTGCCGGTGCAGGTTCAGGTAGTCCGAACCAATGCCTAAGCAACCACTCACATGCTGTAATCAATAAAATTGTGGCCAAATTAATGCCAAAAATCCTAAACAAATATCCTGTTTCCTGTGTGATTTATTTTGGAGGGGTTTTGGGGGTCTTCACATACAAACAAGATGAGGAGTAAGGCTGTTCCTGGTACCTTAAGGACAGAATGTTTCCTGATACAATGGGGCAACTTTTTGGTGCGAAGGAGATTAGCTAGAGGTCTTTGCTTCAATAATTCTATGAACCTGCATCTTATAAGACTCCGCAGCCTAGGCTGAAGCATCAGCACGCCTGGATCTTGCAGCAGCTGTTATCACTTGCAAATTGAAAACAGTGTTAACACTTGTGTAGGAAGGCCACTACTTAAACTCAATTTGAACAGCTAGCATTAAAACAATTGCTTTTAGACAATTAAGTAACCTGCAGCAAAGTTTGGCAGAATGCAATTAGCAAGTGTTTTCATTTAAGGGACTCATTAGAAATTAAACCCACTCTAGCAGTGTCGCTGAAAGGTAAATGCCAGGGAATTTATTTGATAAAATCCCGTGTTTTTCCAGCTTCCCCTCCAATATAATTTGCAAAGTATTGATAGAGCATTGGGGGTTGTGGGGTGGGGGTTGTGTGTGCTTTGTAGCATAGCGTTGCCCCAAACATACTTAAAGCTAACAAACCTGTTTTATTGACTGCTCTGTCACATAGTGAGGAGCACTGCTATTAAAAAGGGGTGGTTAGAGGCTGAAACATAGTTGCCATCTCAGAGGGGAGTTTATTTCTTTTTATGAGACTAAAGCAATCAAATAAATATGGGGGCCAAGCTAAGAAGAGCTATGGATATTCCACTTTGCACAACATGGGGGGGGGCAAGGAATCTTAACAAGTGTCTTCACAGGCAGTCATTGCGCAATGCTTTGCAAATGACACGATGAAGCATTTCACATGGACGTTCTTATTGAACCTCTTGGGAACTCACATAATAACAGAGAAAGATTATTGTAAACCACTTTGTCATTTTTATGATATTGTAGTATTGTGATATTATTATTTTTTAAAAGGAAACCAGATATGTCTGCCAGCCATTGCAACCAGGGCTGGATTTAGGTTTGATGAGCCCCTAAGCGGGTGGCGCTGTGGGTTAAACCACAGAGCCTAGGACTTGCCGATCAGAAGGTCGGCGGTTCGAATCCCCGTGATGGGGTGAGCTCCCATTGCTCGGTCCCTGCTCCTGCCCACCTAGCAGTTCGAAAGCACGTCAAAGTGCAAGTAGATAAATAGGGACCGCTCCGGCGGGAAGGTAAACGGCATTTCCGTGCGCTGCTCTGGTTCGCCAGAAGCAGCTTCGTCATGCTGGCCACATGACCCAGAAGCTGTACGCCAGCTCCCTTGGCCAATAAAGCGAGATGAGCGCCACAACCCCAGAGTCGGTTACGACTGGACCTTATGGTCAGGGGTCCCTTTACCTTAAGCTACTAAAGCTAACGGGGCCCTTTATATGTCCAGTTGTCCTTTGTCAACAACAAGTTGTCACTGGTTTTTGTGTTGAATATATGCTATATGGTAATTTATGGACCTAATAGGTATCTAAAGCCATTTGCACATGCAGAATGTAAGCACCCTATATATAGAAATGAGCAAACCAGTGATATTTTAGGGAGCAGGCTAGCAGGTGGGGCGTATTACTTACATCATAGGACCCTACACAACACAAAACACTGTTGCTGTATGTGGGTTTTATTTTATTTGTTTTTTATCTTATATTTTGGAAATGTACATCCAGTTTTTTTCTTTAATTTTTTGGGGGGCCCCCAAGAGAGTGGGGCCCTAAGCCGTAGCTTGTTTAGCTTATACGTAAATCTGGCACTGATTGCAACCAAAGTAAAATCTCAGTCTGGTTACAAATTATGAGCATGCCACAAGGACTGTACCTAAGCCATTTTTGAATTTATTAGTTTTTTTGGGGGGGGAATTTGAATTTATTAGTTTTACGGCCATTGGCCCATATCGAAAACAATACATCAGAATTTATCCATAAACAATACCATTTACACAGTTCCAAGTTAAAACACCCTTATAAAACCAATTTTACTTTAGTTAAGTAAACACTATACACAATAAGCTCCCTCTATGTAAACCGCAATTCCGATCCATCAGATTTTGGGGGGTATACGTCTTAGTTCTGGCACTTATTGATGGTTCTTAAGTTTAGCTAAGCTGTCAGAAACATACAGTGATCCATTTCTCCTCTTTTGAAATAAAACATTAATCAGGTATCTAGCGATTGCAAGGGATATACTTGTATCTTCGTCGTTTAATAAGTATATTATTTGGGCTTCCTGAGGGCTGTCAGCGATTCTCGATAAATATGGGGCCAGAAACTTGGACCGTGAAGCCGAATGTAATGGACAACAGAAGATTATATGATATAACGATTCTATAGATCCGCTTTTACAGTCACAGAGGAGTGAGATCTGTCCGTTGGAGAGTCTGTTACCCAACACGTTTGATGGGAAAGCATTGAATCTAGCCATTATAAAGTCATACCTGTGCGTCACCACAGATAAGGTAGTTAAGTAAGATGGAAGTTTCGTTGGTGGTGTTAAGCCAAGGTTTATCGGCGAACAGGTGCCACCACCTGTCGCAATATTAAATTGTAAATCCATCTCCTCTAATTTGTGAGTTATAATTCTTTTGGCCGAAGTACCTAAGCCATATTTCCAGGCAGATTTGGAGACTCTTTTCTCAGGCAGAACATTCAAGGAATTTCAAGAAAGTTTGCCTTTTTTTAGGTAACTAACAGAAGATCTTAGCAGTCATCAGATTCCATGTAAAGTTATATTTGAAGCGACTGGTATGTTTCTCCTAGGTGATTTCCAAAATGAATCCGAAGAGTTTCTGAGAGGAGCAAAATCTTTCCTCCTTCCTCCTTCCTTCCTTCCTTCCTTCCTTCTTTCCACACATCTGCAAAATCATTAAATCAGTGCAAACCCTCAAATGTGACCTTGTCTAACGGAAGGGCACCTACTTATTCCAAAAACTCAACATTTTTTTGTTAAAAAATATATTAAAAAATCCTTCATGGCTCTCATAGTCCAAGATGAATGATGCTGCTTATGACTGCATTTGTTCCTTTGATGAATCCTTAAGGATGGCTTGTCAAGCACTTCTGTCTCTAACAAATTAATATAATTGCTTTATTTTTGGTACAGGCAAGCATTTGATGCTGGTGATGGCAGTTGTTTCTATTTGTTTCTTGGTGTTCTATGCATTTCTTAAATTAAAACTGCACACTTAGTTGTTGTTTTTTTAAAGGAGGGGGGACGTCATTTTCCCTCCTCTTAATTTTGCCTCTCTGGCCAAACCTACTTATGTTAATATAACCAAGAAATACTAAATCTGCATTGCCCGCTTTTCACTGTCTGCTACAAAGGCACTGGTTTTCTTTTTTCTTTCTTTTTAAAAAAAATATGGAACCCTTCACGAATTTGCGTGTCATCCTTGCGCAGGGGCCATGCTAATCTTCTCTGTATCGTTCCAATTTTAGTACAGTGGTGCCTCGCAAGACGAAATTAATCCGTTCCGCGAGTGTCTTCGTCTAGCGGTTTTTTCGTCTTGCGAAGCAACCCTATTAGCGGCTTAACGGATTAGCGCTATTAGCGGTTTAGCGGCTATTAAAGGCTTAAAGGCTTAGCGGATTAGCTGCTAAAAGGCTATTAAAGGCTTAGCAGCTTAGATAAAAGGGGGGGAAGTGAAAAAAAAATCTCAAGACTCGCAAGACATTTTCGTCTTGCGAAGCAAGCCCATAGGGGAATTCGTCCTGCGAAGCAACTCCAAAACGGAAAACCCTTTCGTCTAGCGGTTTTTCCGTCTTGCGAGGCATTCGTCTTGCGGGGCACCACTGTATATGTGCTGCTGAAGCGAGTACAGGACCACTGATTTTCATATTGACAGAGGCTCTGCATTTCGCAGTGTCAAAGGAGCATTCAGAAAACTTTGCACCTGAAATAATTAGATCTTAGGACCTAGAAGGTCAACAGTCCAACCTGCGCATTATGTACTTTTAAATATTTGTGGCATTTTCAGGTTAGTGAGATAATGGTCCAATTTCTGGACAAAGGACTCATTCATGTTCATGTTTCATTCAACTGTTTTGACGGCAGGGGTGAGAGGGGGCAGGTCTTCAGGTAGTTATGCTCTGGAGCCTTCCATGCTTGCATAATAAGGATTTTAAAGTCTCACCACACTGTACAATATAAACGGATTATTTGTCAAAAAACCAACATACTCCAAAGAGGATTTTTTTAAAAAAAGAAAAAGCCACACACAAATTGCTCATGGAACACTAATTTGTTATTGTTGATTAAAGTTTCAGCCAATTTCTTTTACTAATTTTCTGTTTTTATTGGAACTTGTGCTTTTTAATACCATATAAATATTGATGGGCAGGCAGAGGGTGTGCGAGAGGTTTGCCTACATGCCTATAAATAAAACATTTCAAGGAGAAAGAGTAGTAGCTCCATTTAACACTCCCTCATCTTTTGCCTTGCTAATTTGGAATAATTTTGCTGTGTTTCCAAATGCCTAGGAGCTGTTCTAAACAGTGTGATGAGAAGTAATGCCTCGTAATTTTCATTTAATGGGAAATATTTTTAGACGGAATGTGAATTCCCAACAGTGCGGGCTTCAAACGCTATAATAATGCAGATAGTGTTTTGTCAAATAAACAGACACATAACTGTGGCCGTGCACACATGAAAATCAGCTGCAATGCAGGTGCCCCAAACCAGATGAGGAATGGTCCCTGGTAACAGGTGGCGCATGCTCAGTTCCTCTCTGGGACCCAAGTACCGTGAAATGCAAGTCTTTTAAAAGTTCTAATCAAACCTATCAGCTGCTTAGGGAGGAAGGATGGGATTATTCCTCCTTTTTTGATAATTAATTTTTATTAATTTTCAATTACAATCCAAGAATAGCCTCATTATAACAATGAAAAATTATAATTCAATTACTAATTCCAATCTTATTATTATTAGTTTTTCCTTTATTGCTCACAAGTAAATCTTTACATCATAACTTTACATCTTACAATTATATAAATTCTTGTTTTCAAAGTATGTTCGCAATTACTATTATCATAGATCGACAAGTATTACTGTACACAAAAAAGAAAAAAGATGTAATTTTAAAATCATAATATTTCTTATAATGACTTCCCATCTCTTCCATTTTGTACTAAAAAACTTATTGCCTATATTTGTCCATTGTCTTTTTATTTATAATATTTTCTTATCTATCAATTTTCCTTTTAAATTTGTTATCCATAGAAACTACTCAAAGGCTGTTACCGTTTTCTGATTGCAGCAATTACTCTTCAAGTATTCCTTAAAACAATTCCAATTTGAGACAAACTCCTGTTTGGATTTATGTTTGATTCTTTCTGATAAGTAGTCTATCTCCGCATACTCTGTTAGTTTTTATATCCAATCAGATCTGGTGGGTACTGATACCAATCATTCAAATACCAAATTATATAATTTAGGTCCCGTCCCCCCGGCGTGCTAGATTTGATGGTTTGATGATTTTCTTTATTTCTGCGTTCCAAAATCTTATCAATTTCAATTACATTCCACTCAAAATAATAAGTCCTTGTACAACAACTGCAATATGAATAACTTCCATTCCTGTCGACACATTAAATGATTTATAGAACTACAAGGGAGGCACTCAAACTACATCCTTGCTCTTTTTGTGCGTGGCAATTATTCTGTTCGTGGTGCTCCTGTCCTTGTAAAATGTTATGTCCTTCTTTTCCCAGTTGTTGCTGTTCTCCATCATGCCTTGGGTGGAGCTGATACAGGATTACTCCTCCTGGATGATGATTAGGTTGTTCAGCTGGATTGTGACCGACATTCTGCCACATACTAACATCTGCCCCTGCTAAAAAAACCAGAACTCCTCAATTAATGTTATAAATTCACCAGTGATTGCAGTTGCAATGGAGGCAGAGTATAGGCACTGCGGCTAGCTGCCACTAGTAGATCTGTCATCCATAAATTCATTGAATCCTCATTTTAAAGCTGTTATGTACTGAGCTTGCATCCTAGAAGAATAGGCAGGTAGGATCCTAGAAGGCAGCAATCTGATTGGTCTGCAGGAGCTGCCCAATCCGGCTCCAGGAAGAAGTGAATCTGCAACCTGATTGGCCCGCGGGAACAGTCCAATCAGGCTCCTGTAACATAATAGTGATTATGAGCAATAAAGGGGTTAATGTTCCACACTCTCAATTGATGTGTCTCCCAACTGCCCCCTCCCTCCGGAATCTCTTGTCATTGTCTTGTAGCTAGGTAGCTCCTCCCTAATCTGTTCCTCTGTGTCTGCCTGTCTCTCTGCTTCCGAAAACGCTGGATGCAGGGGCAGGGTGGCGAATATTCCCCCTCCGCTTCAGAGAGAAACTGATCTGCCTGCGACTGCATTCCCCCATCTTCGGATCCAGACCATTCCCTGCCAGTCATTGAGTTGGATCCTTCAGTGATTGGATACCCCTGTTTAGGGGGTCCAGGAGGGGTCTCTCAGTCCCAGAGTCCATACAAGGGCCAATGGGCCATAGCACCTTTCCCAATAGCCTCCTGACTGGAATTGTAACTCCCACTGTTCCCACACTACCAGTGGCGTAGCGTGGGTTGTCAGCACCCGGGGCAAGGCAAGTAATTTGCGCCCCCTAACCCATGGATTTGCGCCCCCTAACCCTAACCCCCAGATGTTGCGCCCGGTGCGGCCGGGCCCCCCTGCACCCCCCACGCTACGCCACTGCACACTGCTACCCTCCAGCAGGTGGGTTGCTTGATACCAGATACATCCACAATGCCGTGACCAAAACCTACTTACATCTGTAATTGGCTTATTTCAACCCAATACAAGTTTCCTGTGTTATGGTTCACCCCTCACTGTGCTGCGGGCATCATGGGCCTGTGACGGCAATGCAAGTTTCTCCAGGTGAGTAATATGAAACATGGCTTTCATATAAATTGCTCCCTTTTTATTAAAAAAGAAAGGCGTTACAGATCAATAGGGCAAGTGCAGCCAAATTAATCACAAGCACAATGATTTCTCCTAGTTGTATAGCGTTTAATCTGCCTTTGGATCTCTTCTGAAAGTTTTATTCCTCCCGTTTGTCTCTTGCTCTTCAGATGTATAAGATCCATAGTGATTTGCTTCCTGCACAGCTGCAGATTTTCCATCTGGTGAAGCATATCTCCCTCATCTCAGTTTTGTCTGTTTGTTTCAGCAATCTGCCGCCATATGAGAGCCACTTTATCAAGACAGTCCATGGACTCCACTATACAGCTGCAAATAAAATGTTTTAAGTGTGTTTTGAGTGCAACATACAATGTGACACTAGATGGCAATGGTGAGCCTTATGGGGAATTCATTTTTTTTCAAAAAAATGATATTTATTACTTTTTCAAAATTTCCAAGACAGCATTACAAACACAAAGAAAGAGAGAAAAAAAGAAAACAATACGAATAGCAAATCAAGCAAAAACAAACAAAAACAATTTAAAAACACCTCAAACATTTTCAATATCTTATATTTCATTCACTTATTTCCAGCGACTTCCTCACACCTCCCTTTTGTATTCCACTTCTATTATTTGTTTCAGCAATTCCTTTCCATCTTACTCTGTTTTCTGTTCTATAATTATCTTAACACATTCTTGCCATACTTTTCCTTTAATTTTCTATTAATCTATTTATACTTAATTCCTTATGACATTTCTACTAAAGCCATGTAATTTCATTCCAACATTTTTCTAACATTCCTTAATTTTACCATATTTCTATAAATAGTGTTTAAACTTTTTCCAATCTTCTTCCACCAACTCTTCACCCTGGTCTCGGATCTTGCCAGTCATTTCCACTAATTCCCTATAGTCCATCAACTTCGTCTGCCATTGTCCAACACTTCAGTGTTTTCAAAAAGCAACCATTCTCTCAACCAGCAAAAGGCAGATGGTTCACAACGAAGTTTAAAGGTCTGGCAGGGCAGGTCCACCTCCTTCTTTAGCATCCATCAATATCTTAAGCTTAACTCGAGACTTCCTGCCCTGCCAAACAACTCTATTCCTTATGGGGACAATTCCTTATGGGGAATTCAATGTATTTTTTAAAACGCTTTAAAAAAGCATTTTCAGACGTTTTTTAAAATATGTATGTAGATTCCACCCATGAGTGTTTCCCATGCATCACTTACCATATCCGTTGATATCTACTAGTAGAACACTGCTTAAGAGGCCTTCATTTAGATGCTGGAACACAGTGTGGTTTTTAATAAAAAAATATTTCCCCCCATTCCTTGAAAATAGTGGGCAATGTTGCCCTAGTGCCTATGTGCCTGCAATTACGTAAGAGTTACAGACCCTGCTACACTGAGATTTCACTTTAAAAAATAATATAAAATATGTATTAAATGGATACCCCCACCCCTTCACCCAAAGATCACAGGGTGGCTTACAACATGAAAATACTAAATGAAAACACAAAATACATAACAAAACAATGACAACCCCCCTCCCAACAAACACATTTCAGAGGCCATAGGTTGTTTTATCAGCCAAAGGCCTCATTGAAGAGGAATGTTTTCACCCAGGGCCTAAATATATATAATGAGGGTGCCAGGAGAGCCTTCCTGGGAGAGAATTCCACAAATGGGGAGCCACCTCAGAAAACACCCTCTCTTTTGCTGCCTCCTTCCAGACCTCTCATGGAGGGGGACACATAAAGAAGGTAGGGTTGCCATATCTTAAAGAGCAAAAATGAGGACTACCAGGGCCACTGCCAACCCGAGCCAGGACGTAACCGCACCCAAGCAAAACAACAACAACACACCAATCAAATAAATATACACCTGGACATTTCCTTTCAAATGTAAAAATTCCCCAATGGGCATGTTGGCCCCCCAAAAGGGGACACGTCTGGGATTTCCCAGACATTTGGCAACCCTAAAGAAGGGCCTCAGATGATGATTGCAGGGTCTGGGTTGGTTCATGTAAGGAAAAGTGGACCTTGAGGTATTGCAGTCCTGAGATGTCTAAAGTGTTGTAGGTCAAAACCATGCGTTGGAATTCGGCCTAGAAACTAGGCCCAGGATCAGAGTTGTATGCTCAAATTGTCTTGCCCTGGTGAGCAACCTGGCTGCTGAATTCTGCCGCATCTAAAGTTTCAGAACCATCTCCAGAGGCAGCCTCACGTACTGTATAGCATATGACCGTAATCTAACCTAGAGGTTACTGGAGCATAGATGACACTATGCTGCTGAGTCACCTGCCCAAGTTGATGGAAGGCACTCCAAAAAATTGGGGCAACTTAAGCCTCAGGAAGCAGCAGTGGATCCAGAAGGACCCTCAAGTTACATCCCTTCTTCTAGAGAAGAAGAAAAATGCCACAGCCGTCGCTTACAAAATATAAACAAGCATCCCTGGAAGGCAATAATGGGGGGAAATTAGGTACCAGAAAACAGAAGTTCTAAATCCAGTTGGAATATTTTACTTCTTAACAAGCTGAGAATACAAGGTAGTGCCACTTCAGTCCATTGTTGTTGTTTAGTCGTTTAGTCATGTCCGACTCTTCGTGACCCCATGGACCAGAGCACGCCAGGCACTCCTGTCTTCCACTGCCTCCCACAGTTTGGTCAAACTCATATTGGTAGCTTCAAGAACAACCATCACATCCTCTATCATCCCCTTCTCCTTGTGCCCTCAATCTTTCCCAACATCAGGGTATTTTCCAGGGAATCTTCTCTTCTCATGAGGTGGCCAAAGTATTGGAGCCTCAGCTTCAGGATCTGTCCTTCCAGTGAGCACTCAGGGCTGATTTCCTTCAGAATGGATAGGTTTGATCTTCTTGCAGTCCATGGGAGTCTCAAGAGTCTCCTCCAGCACCATAATTCAAAAGCATCAATTCTTCGATGATCAGCCTTCTTTATGGTCCAGCTCTCACCTCCATACATCACTACTGGGAAAACCATAGCTTTAACTATACGGACTTCAGTACATATGCCACCCCTTTTCCCTGGAACAATTTAGGCTCTAGTCTAGGGACAGGGAACTTAATACATGTCAGATGTTATTGATCTCCAGTTCCCATCAGCCCCAGCTAGTATGGCTAATGATCCAGGGCAGTTGGAACTGTAGTCCAACAACATCAGGTGGGCACCACGTTGACTAATGCCATCCCCAGCCCATGTATCCTATGCAGGAAAATCATTTTCAGTCCAAGTCTACTACCGGCATTTTTAGCTGCATTCTGACAAAATGGAGCTTTTTTGCAGCAGATGTCTGCAACACTACACACAAATATGTTAGCAGAATCTCACTCTCCAGCAGCGATAGTTATGCCTGGGCTTTAGAGGCAGGTGAATTAATTCCTTAAGTTTTTTGGGAGTAGTTGATTGAAAATTTTGAATTATCTGATTTTTCCTATTAATTCTTGCAATAGATTTTGACTAGTATTGACAGATTTCAACTTTGCATTCAAATAAGCTTTCACACCTCTCAAAATTAAATTGGTTGATTGAGATTTTTTTGTGTGGTTCCACCAAAGTTAACAGTTAATTTGACATTTAATAAACTGAAAACTAAACAAATGTTTACTATATAAAGCAGCTGTGTTTGTTGGTGCAAGTTGATCAACAGTTTTGTCGGCTGAGCTGTGAGCTAGTACAATGCAGTTTATTTCGATGGTGTTTCAACCAATCAAATATGTATTACTCTTCATGACAAATGTCTTTAATTTTAAAACATTTGCCCCGGCTTAATAGAATACCATTATTTCTCTACTGTGCTCATTAATTCTTCCCAATTAAGTTGAACAAAATGGGCAAAATGTAACACGATCAGCTATGTTATCCTGCCTTTCTCAAATGTAATTGGATTTGCTATCTTTGATTGGACTCATTAGGAGTGAGAAGCTAAATAACCTCTGAAAAATATCCACCTCCCCACACTTTGCAATGTGAGTGGAGGTTCTAGTCTATGAACATGTGCAGCTTATTTTACTCATTTGGACAATTTGGCAAAATTTTCAATGCCTTGATGCTTAATATAAGGCAATGAGTTTTCTGCATTATTAAATGCCCTTTGTATTGACTATGTGTTATTACATATAAAAGAATTAAAAGCTAAGCAGAATCCTTGAATTCCAATTTACACTGACATTAGTCAGAGGTGCCAACTTCTCCAGATGATCAAGGGGCCCCAATTTGACATCATGTAATGTCCTGATGTTGCACATGTGATGTCGTAAGGAGCCAGGGGGTGGAGACAAAGGTCCTCTGAAAATTGAGGGTGCCCGCCCCCCTCAAAAATACATGGGGGGGGCAGAAACTGCCTTGGCCCCTAGGAGTCAGTGCCTATGTCAGCCGTAATCAGGGATAGGGAAAAGAGTTGGCTATCAAATCTCTCAGTCTCCACTTATCCAGGCTAAGAAAACCCAACTCCCTCAACCATTCATCACAAGGCTTGGTTTCCAGACCCTTGATCATCTTGGTCACCCTCCTCTGCACACATTCCAGGTTGTCAATATCCTTCTTAAATACACACTATTCCAGGTGTGATCTGACCAAGGCAGAACAGAGTGGGAATATTACTTCCCTTGATCTGGACACTAGACTTTATGCATTAGCTTTTTCTTTTCTTTTCTTTTCTTTTTTGCTGCTGCATCACACTGTTGACTCATGTTCAGCTTAAAGGTAAAGACTGGACCTGACCATTAGGTCAAGTCATGACCGACTCTGGGGTTGCGGCGCTCATCTCGCTTTACTGACCGAGGGAGCCGGCGTACAGCTTCCGGGTCATGTGGCCAGCATGACTAAGCCACTTCTGACGAACCAGAGCAGCGCACGGAAACGCCGTTTACCTTCCCGCCGGAGCGGTACCTATTTATCTACTTGTGCTTGACGTGCTTTCGAACTGCTAGGTTGGCAGGAGCAGGGACTGAGCAATGGGAGCTCACCCCGTCGAGGGGATTCGAACTGCCGACCTTTTGTTCAACAAGTCCTAGGCTCTGTGGTTTAACCCACAGTGCCACGTGCATCCCTCATGTTCAGTTTATGGTCTACTAAAACCCTAGATCAAGCTTCCTCAACCTCGGCCCTCCAGATGTTTTTGCCTACAACTCCCATGATCTAGCAGGACCAGTGGTCAGGGATGATGGGAATTGTATTCTCAAAACATCTGGAGGGCCGAGTTTGAGGAAGCCTGATCTAGATCCTTTTCACATGTGCATCTTATATTTGTGCAGCTGGTTCTTCCTGAGTGAGTGTAGCACAATGGGTCAGTGAGTCTCGCTGCTAACCAGAAAGTTGGTGGTCTGAGCCCATCCAGAGCTGGCTGTGGGCAGGATTCCTGCATTGCAGGGGGTTGGACTAGATGACCCTGGGGTCCCTTCAAACTCTACAGTCCCTACTGAAATATATTTTGCTACTTTGGGCCCAGTTCTTCAATCCGTTAAGATCCTCTTGAATCTCAGTTTTCTCTTCTGTGGCATTAGCTACCCATCCCAGTTTGGTGTCGTCTGCAAATTTGATGAGCATCCCCTCGATTCCTTCAGCCAAGTCATTCATAAAGACATTGTTATTCAAAGACTTTATAAACAACCATCTCATTCCTCATATACCAAATCAGTCACTGCAGATGCCATCTCATGAGGCGGTTTGTTCATATAATGTAGGAATTATACTTTTACTGTGGTGGCAGTTAGTGCCAAAGGAACTTATTCCCATTCCTCCCAGGCAATTTCTTTACCATCTTTTTGATACCCACAGAATACATTTCTCTTCCTGTGATTCTTTTAAGTGGAGATTGCTATCCCAATTTTTACATCCATTGTTCTGGAAATTGTTTTTATAGATGTCTTATTGTTGATATATTTTATTACGAAATCACTGTGAGGTGTACATTCGAAAATGTGTTTTAAAAATATGTTGATCCACATTGTGAAACGCTAACATGTTTAATCAAGCAGAATAAATTAAATTTCCTCTTCCCCCAGTTAGAAACGCATCTTATTCCACAGAGAAAGTAATGTCAAATCTCATAATGTCAACCCAGGCAAAGGGGTGTACGCAGCTGAAACACTTGCAGTTTATTTTCTCATTGGTATTGGTAAAATGGTGAATTGAATCACAGTATCTCACAGTTTGTTTCAGTGCACAGAACAGTAGGTTTTCCTTCTGTCTTTCATAGCTTGAGATATTTCTTAATCAGCTTCAGCTTGCTGAAGCTCCTTTCTTTCAGGTGATGTTCCTGAAGGTGGAAGGCAGGGTACTGAGAGATGGAGAAACATAGTAAAGCAGAGAGTAAGTGCTATGAGATACAATGAGAAAAGGAGAGAATGTGGGATTCAGAAATACCGTATTATTCATTCTATAAGACACACTTTCCCCCTAAGTAAGAGGAGATGTGTGTGCGTCTTATGGAGCGAATGCAGGCCCTCCCTTTAAAGAGCCCCGTGGAGCATGTTTCCTTCTCCCTCCTCGGGGAAAAGCCCCCAAGAGCTGCACACATGCTCCACGCACTATTTAAAGGGAGTGTGGCTCATGGGGGAGCCTTCATCCCACTGCCCGGGAGAAGCTGTGTGCGGCTATTCCGGAAGCCAGAACAGCAAGAGGCTATCCCAGAAGCCAGATCCCTCCTGCTGTTCTGGCTTCTGGGATTCAGAATGTTTCTTCTTCTTGTTTTCCTCCTCCTCTGGTGCGTCTTATAGAGCGAAAAATACAGTACCTGTTAAGGGTTAGGAAAGAAAGATGACGTTGCTGTGAGTTGGAGGTATGAGAAATGCAGGGAGAAGAGAGATGAGAAAGGAAATCAAAGGGGGGGGGCAGATGGGCACGCAGAGAGACTGGTGGCTGTGCAAAGGAAGAAAATAGAGAGTGGGCTCAAAAAAAGGGAAGGATTCCAAGAACTCCGTGGTGGTGCACAGAAAGTGTACAGAAAGAAAGGGGGATGTCAACAGAGAGTGGGTTAAAAATAACATACAGAAACCCAGCCAGTTTATTATTAACTAAAATTCTACTCCAAAATGCTTGGGAGTGCTCAGTGCTCAGTGTTGTGACACAGCGCTCCCAATCTGAGGTCACATAATTCCAATTTTACTCTGATCGCAAAAGCCAGTGTGTGACTTCAGAGGTCTGGCTCATAGCCAAAGGAAATAGCTCGCCGCTTCTGTGCTAAGCTCATGCACCAATGATGCCTTTGAAGGAAGCCAATTGCCCCCGTGACTGTACTCTTGCATGCTGTGGTTTTGCTGGAAGCCCAGAACCCTTTCTCTAAACAAGGATGTGTTTAGCAGGCGCCGAAAAGAGTTCAGTGAAGGCTCCTGCTTGATATGAAGAGGCAGGGAGTTCCAAAGTGTAGGTACTGCCACACTAAATGATTGGTTTGTGACAAATGTGGAACGGGTGCTGTGTAGTGCCAATTGCATTGATCAAGTGTTGAGTGGCCACATGTTGGATAAGGTGATCTTGTAGGTAAACTGGTCTCAAGTTGTTAAGGGCTTTATATGCTAATAGTAACACCTTTAACCTGACCCAGTAGCAATTTGGCAACCTGCACAGATCTCTGAGGACGGGTGTTAATATGCTGAGAAGACAGTCATCCTACAGTGTTCTGCAGCTTCCAGATAAAGCATGAGGGAAGCCCCACATAGGTCTTGCTAAGATGCATAAGACCAAATCAGATAAGTGTTGGAGATGTAATAAGACTGAGGGTATGTTCTATCATATGTGGTGGCCTGTAAAAGGGTAAAAGAATACAGTGGTACCTCAGGTTACATATGCTTCAGGTTACATACGCTTCAGGTTACAGACTCCGCTAACCCAGAAATAGTGCTTCAGGTTAAGAACTTTGCTTCAGGATGAGAACAGAAATCGCGCGGCGGCAGCAGGAGGCCCCATTAGCTAAAGTGGTGCTTCAGGTTAAGAACAGTTTCAGGTTAAGTACGGACCTCCGGAATGAATTAAGTACTTAACCTGAGGTACCACTGTATTGGGAAATAATTCATAATGAACTGAGTGGGAAATGTTTAAAAGTACTTTCCCCCCAAAAAATCCAGAGTTCTTTTTGTTTGGAATAATTCAGATGGAAATTCCCAGGTGTCCATGAAGGTTATTTGTGTATGCCACTACGGCGGCCTATGTTTTGTTAGCCCCCAAATGGAAAACGAGCAAAGTCCCAACTAAAGAAGAATGGCAACTTAAAGTGATGAAATATGCACAGCTTGCGGACCTAACACACAGAAGAAGAGAACAAAAAGAACATACATTTAAAGAAGACTGGAAAATGTTTATTGACTATACGAGGGGGAATTGCGTACACTTGAAAATGTTGGCAGCATTAAGACAAATTCAACAGTGTAAATAAGTTTTGATGGATGTAATAATGGAATACTGAATGGTTTAGTTTACAATGGTGCCTCACAAGATGAAATTAATTCGTTCCGCGAGTTTTGTCGTCTTGCGATTTTTTTCGTCTTGCGAAGCACGGTGTCGGGAAAGTTTTGGAAAAGCTTCAAAAATCACCAAAGTCTTTAAAAACCTCAAAAAAAGGCTACCACACCGTGTTTTATGAGTTGCTCCTCGAAGTCAAGTCGCAACTGTATTAACGGTGTTAAGAAAAAGGAAACAAACTTGCAAGACGTTTCCGTCTTGCGAAGCAAGCCCATAGCGAAAATCGTCTTGCGAAGCAGCTCAAAAAACAAAAAACCCTTTCGTCTAGCAAGTTTTTTGTCTTGTGAGGCATTCGTCTTGCGAGGTACCACTGTATATAAAATATGCAGGGATTTACGTTGTGCAAAATAAACCATGGAAAGAGAAGAAGGGAAGTCACTGATATTTTAAGGTTGTTTAAGTGAATATTCTAAAATGTAAAACAGAAATTTAATTTAAAAAATTAAACTTGAGGGAAAATCCCTAAAAAATTAAACTCGAGGGAAGCCCCACATAGAACACATAGCAGTAATCCAGTCTGGAAGGAACATACACATGAACTACTGTGGTAAGGCTGCCCTGGTCCAGCAATGGCCATAGCTGTCAAACCAACCACAGCGGTGGTGGAAGTCTCTTGGGCAGCTGGAGCGGTGCACCTAGGGGTGGGGTGAATTGCCCATAGGGGTGGGTTGCACAGTGCCCATAGGGAAAGCCCACCCTATTGGCGCTGGGTGCCCCATCCTGTCTGCTGTTCGCTCGATGCCCGCCCCTAAAGGGAAGTTTTCTTTCTGCAGTTCTCTTACTGCACATAACTGTGAAGTCTTACTATGAGAACTATTGCTTCTTTTCTCTTGCATTCTGGGAAGTCTCGCTCATAATCTTTTCTCTGCTTCTGCACAAGAGTCTGAGAATGTTCTGAACAGTTCCCATTGAGTTCATGAAACAGTGTACCCTGACCTGTTCTTAACCACATCTACGGAACGTGATTGTTGTATTCTTTCATGTTATGTTCTTTCAATATCAATCTTTAGTTATAATTTAATTAGGAGGTTTCATGCCTGTCTAGTTCCAGCTCCGTTTCTCAGCCTTTGATCTATCAGTGATGGATATCGGTTGACCGAGCAGCGGCCTGGGGCCTGGGCAGTGAGCCTCCTGGGTCAGTGGCTGAGATTGATGTTGGGCATGGCTATGAAGGGTCTGCCGTCAGGGCTTCAGCCAGATGTGGTTAGAGGCCTGGGTCACGTGACACCTGCTCATGAGTGTGGGCGCTGTTTCAGCCCAGCGCTTTGTAAACCCCAGGTGGCCTGATGGGGAAGCTGAAACATGGCCACGGTTGCATGTAGGGAGCCGTGGCCGTGACACGCATCAGCGACTGGGACACTAGGTGTTGGGTTGAGCTGACAGACGGTAACATGTGCCAGTGGGCCCAGCACCCCGGGAAGACTCTTTTGTGAGTGTTCCAGCGTGGCATCGGGTGCTGCGTGCGGAGTGGGCCCAGCATGTGGAAGCCTGAGTGGGCTGGGGCAGTAACCATGAGGCAGAGGAGACATGGCCACCTAAGGTGCCGCTGAGAGACTGCACCGCCGCTGTGGTGGTTTGACAGCTTGGCCGACTCACGGGACCAGGGCAGCCTGATGCCACGGTGGTGCTGTGCAGACTGGAGTCAGGCACTGTGTAGTTCACGTGTGGGACCGTTCAGGGGATGACTGAGTTCCCTCAGAGCTCACGTCTCAGCTAGGGCTCTGTTACATCTTCACGTAGAATGGCCTGAAGATATGTCTGGGCGCTCCCCCAATCTCAAGCCATGCGTTTATTTTGCTGCGTACACCACCGCATACTGGCTCACGAGTGCCACCTCACTGGGACACGTGACCTCGCAGACAAAAAACACTAACGTCAGACAGATGGGCCACTGATCGAGCTGCTGGGTCCCTAGCCATAGTGGTTCAGGGATAACTGGAAAGTGGCCTTACTATGAGAACTATTGCTTCTTTTCTCGTGCATTCTGGGAAGTCTCGCTCATAATCTTTTCTCTGCTTCTGCACAAGAGTCTGAGAATGTTCTGAACAGTTCCCATTGAGTTCATGAAACAGTGTACCCTGACCTGTTCTTAACCACATCTACGGAACGTGATTGTTGTATTCTTTCATGTTATGTTCTTTCAATATCAATCTTTAGTTATAATTTAATTAGGAGGTTTCATGCCTGTCTAGTTCCAGCTCCGTTTCTCAGCCTTTGATCTATCAGTGATAAATGGTTGTATGTAATTCCCGCCTTGTACCTATGTTAACCAATCAGCAACAAGATGCTTTGTGTTTGTATCAACCAATCAGCCACAAGCACACCTGTGGCAATGTTTGTAATATTCAATAAAAGAGAGTTCCCGGGGCTTGCCCCGGCGGACGCCTCTCATATGACACCTGCCACTCGTCTGTCGTGATTTCAACCCAACACGCCCCCCAGCTGTAGGGCAGCTGAGGCCCCACAGCGTGCACCGTCCCTATGGGTGCTGTGCATCCTGTCCTCTCCCTATTGACGTGGCGGCGATCCACCCAGGGGGGATTTTGTCACCCCCCCTCAGTAATGAGATCCAGGGCGGACCACCCCCACCGCACCCCCCCTTTCTCTGCCACTGACCAACCATAGTTGATAAAAGGCACATCTAGATAAGCAAATCTGCCTTTCTAATCTACCTGAAGCTCCAATGACAGAGCTGGATCCAGAAGCAGCCCCAGACTGGGACCTGGGATCAGACTCACAAAGCAGCACAGGCTTGGCGGGGGGGGGGGATGAGGATCAAAATGTGCCCTCAAACTGTGCCTGGGGCAATGGCCCCCCTCACCCTGCCCATGCTACGCCACTGTGTTGAGATAGAAAATGTTCCTCAAAGTTTGAAACATCCTGGTGTACTCTGAATAAACATTCACAAACTTTTCTGTTGAGGACAATCAGCTAAATAGTTTGAGGATCTATATGTTAGGATATTTCCGTTCCACCTTAAAAGGGAGCAGGCTTTGTGAGTCACACAGCCTGCGTATTTCCTGTTTCATAGGATGTTTCTGTTGTGTCTTTGTTTTCACTCTCTCTGTGTCAGAGACACTGAAGCTGGCAGTCATGTTTTTCTTTGTTCTGATCAACGCTGAATAAAACTTGTAAATAATGCTCTCCTGAATGCAACTTTCACTGTGCATTATCTGCTGATAGAGCATGCATGAGCTTGAGAATGATGGCAGGCTATTTCTGGAGCTCGTGTCGCTAATTGCTGATACTGTATCTACGGGAGATCGATGGACGTCCGGAGACGGCTTGGGGGCCATGATGGACTTTGTCTCCCTGGCAGTATCCCAACACTATAGAACTGTGTAACATGCAGAAAATAGCATTCTTAGAGAAATCAAAGACTGGAACTGAGGGAAGCCCTGAGGGGAGGGAGGAAAAATGGGGGGGGGGATAAAGATTATATGTTTCTGGGTAATATGTTTTGTTTTAATTTTGAATAAAAAAGTTTTTTTTAAAAAAGAAAAGAAAAAAGAAACATCCTGGTGTAGGAATAAATAATAGTTTGCTTCAAACCATTGCGTATTTCAAGAGCCTACGAACAATGAGATGAAGTGTGAGGGAGCCAGTGGTTATTCTCTTTGAAATAAATGTGAGGAGAGAGCGATGAAGCCAAAGCAAATCTTCTGCAAGTCCCCTTGAGGCCACGGTAGTCTCCAGAGAACCACATTTCAGAGTCTGAAGAGATCTTTGAACTTATGAAAGTTCCTGTTTATAGTACTAATGGGTAAGTGGTGCAATTTGGAGCGGTAGAATCATTTCCTTTGACCCTAGAAGAAGTGATAGATAAGACGTTGTCTAAGTATGAAGGAGAAGGCGTAGGAACTACTTTCCTACAAGTATTGGTCAGATATTATTACGGAAGAGTAAAATTAGAACATGGAAAACCTTGGTGACATGGTTCATTTTAAGCTGGAATTTACCATTTATTCAGAATCAAATGCTGCATAGACCTATGCCTAAAAAAGATACTTGTGTTCTTGGGTCTTTGCTGTTGTTAAATTTCAGTATGACATAATTTGTTTAAGACTCAGCTTAAGTTATTAGCTGTGTTTAAGTATGTATTTTTAATGTTAATGTTTGAATGCAGTTTTCCATAATACGTATGCACATGTTTATAAAGCCATTTTCACTAATATAATGCACTTCTGTAAGTTATTTTAACTAAGGCACACTTTCCCCTAATATAAGCATTTTTGTAAACATTGCGTGGTTGGAGAAATGCATCACAAAATTCGGATAAGTGTGAGTACTGGAAGATGGCTGTGTTTCAAAATTTGGCATTCAGTGTGAACCAAATCAAATTTCTCCCCTCATTGCCACTCTACACACATTTTTTTTTCTTTTAGCAAAGGCTTTTAAATGGAACAAACAAGAATAATAGAGACTATGATTTACATCCTAGGAATCTGAATGAACCCAATTATAACTTGGTTTAAAAATAAAGAGATGGGTTTGAAGTTATCTCCAAAATCATTATAAAAATTAATTAGTGAGCTGTGAAAAATAATGAACCATCTTCTTCATCCCATGTTATTTTTGGATTATTTGAAAAGAAAGTACAAGATGAAGAATCAGTTAATTATGTGCCAAGCTGTTTATGGCAACTTTAAGTAATCTAGTTTGCCTTTTCTCATTGCAGTTTCACTGCTCTCCTGCCTTGGATTAGTGATATTTCCAAGAAATGCAAGAATAAGATGTGTTGTTATACTCTGGTACCATAGACATGCCTTATATGCTAACCAGAAAGCTAAAATAAGTTATAATAATATGACCAAGATTATTTGGAGATCTCTCTCTCTCTCTCTCTCTCTCTCTCTCACACACACACACACACACAAATTGTGCCTTTTCCTTAGCTTCTTAGAATGTTATTGTCCTTGGATTTTAAGGCACAGGGAAGGCCAAACAGACCTGAACGATTTCTTTCTCTTTTTTCCTGGGAATTGTCCTCCCCACCCAGTCAATTAGGGAGAGACCACAATTTAGAGAAAGAACACAGAGTTAGCAGAATCGGACCTCTGGAAAATAGTGGCTAGTACCGATAGCAGGATGAGGAAAGGCCTTGGGGAGCTGCTGCTAGTTAGATGAATAACTGTGTTTTTGTTTTTATTATTATATATGTGCACACATAAGGTATAAATATTCTTAGGGATATGGGTGGCACTGTGGTCTAAACCACTGAGCCTCTTGGGCTTGCCAATCAGAAGGTCCGCAGTTCGAACCCCTGAGACAGGGTGAGCTCCCATTGCTTTGTCCCAGCTCCTGCCAACCTAGCAGTTTGAAAGCATACCAGTGCAAGGAGATAACTAGGTACCACTGCGGCGCGAAGGTAAACGGCATTTCCGTGCAGTCTAGTTTCTTTCATGGTTTCCATTGTGCCAGAAGCAGTTTAGTCATGCTGGCTAAACTGTCTGTGGACGAACGCCAGCTCCCTCGGCCTGAAAGCGAAATGAGCGCCACAACCCCATAGTCACCTTTGACTGGACTTAACCATCCGGGGTCTTTTATCTTCTTTTTTAATATTCTTAAGTGAATCTGCTGAACTACTAAATCATGACATAACAACTTCCATTTATGGGGGGCAAATGGACTTTTGCAGTGATTTTTTTGCATGTGAAGACCCCCATACTCCCTCCAGAATAAATCACACAGGACACAGAATGTTTGTTTAAGATTTTTGGCATTAATTTGGCCACATCTTTATGGATTACAGCATGGGAGTGGTTGCTTAGGCATTGGTTCGGACTACCTGAACCTGCACCGGCAGGAACAGGACTGACAACTGGAACCTCCAGAGGTCAGTAAGGGGAAACATACTGGGGGTGCACAGAGGCAGGTTTCCGCCTCTTAGTTGACCCCAGATGCTCCCAGGTACTCTGGCATGGCCCTACCCCTGAGAGGGAATTGGACAGAGCAAATCGAGCCCCTGGATTCCTTTAACGGAATTCCCTAGCAGCAGCTAGGGGCAGGCACAGCCAATCCATAATCCCCTCCACCAAAGAATGAACCAAGGACTAACTGCCAACC